TAAGCCAGACACAGAAAAAACAAATAAACAAACACATAATCTCACTAATATGTAGAATCTAAAAAAGTTGAACACATAAAAGCAGAGTAGAATGGTGGTTACCAGGGGCAAGGAGGTGGGGAAGACAGGGAGATGTTGGTCAAAGGGTAAGAAGTGGCAATTATATAGGATGAATAATCTAGAGAGCTAATGGATAGAATAATGACTATAGATAATGATCCTGTATTGAACACTAGAAATTTGCTGAGAGTGCCCTCAACACACACAAAAAGTGGTAACTGCGTGAGAAGATATGTTAATTAGCTTGACCATAGTAATATTTCACTATGTATATCTTTAGCAAATCATGTTGTACACCTTATGTAGATACAATTTTTATTTTAAGAAATGCTTTTGCTTTGCAAAAGGTAACTACTTTTCATGAAAATGTTACTTATGTTAACATGCAATGGGTTTATTGTAGTTATTTTTAATTAATAAATGATTATTTAGGAATTTTAGTGATAGACGTAACTCGAATGAACAAAAGCCCTTTGGGATCCTTAATACTTTTTAAGCATCTAAATGGGTCCCGAGATCAAAAAACTTTGAGAACCACAAGCCTAGAGTAAAGCCATTTCCTTAGTTGGCCGTTGCCTTGGATCTGCTGATGAACCCTAGATCTGTCAGGGAGAAAGGAAGGGAAGTCTACCGGGAGGCTTCCAGGAAGTTTTTCCATTCCCAAAAGAGAGCCACAGGAAGTCTCTCTCTCTTCTTCTTCTGGTCGTTAATGTATCTGAATGGGCTGCCTGGAATGGCTGCAACCTGAGGAAGATGGCAGTGTTGTTTCCGGAGTTCATTATTACAATGATTCAGTGAACATCTTTCTATACAGCATATCTTTGCTTATCAGTGTGAGTATTTTGGTAGAATAAATTCTTAGAATCAGGAGTGCTGGATAACAGGATATATACATTAAAAATTTAATAGATACCAATATTGATAAGTTGTCCTCCCAAAAGTTTGTGCCAATATTAACTTCCATCAATATTTATTTAACAAGCACTTATATAAAGCTTACTATGTGCTTTCTAGGCAACTGTTTGAAGGTTTTTATAAATGCGAACTCACTAATGGTATATTTCAGTGCCTTTAAATGGTCTAGTCATGTCTTTGGTTCATTTTCCTTCTGGGTTTTCATCTTTCTTTTTATCATTTCTAAGAGCTCTGTGTATGTTAGGGATATTAGCTCATTAGTTCCATATTATATGGCAAATAAAATTCAATAATCATTTATTCACAATTTCAATATCTAAAAAGCTCTGAAATGTAAGTTTTTTGTAAAGTTAGTGTAAAATCATTTGCTAACCAAGCATGACTTCAAATGACATGAAACTATTTTTAGCCTTTGTATATTCCAGTTAATGTGAATAGTGCTACATTTTGCTGAAGAAACAAAAATTGTGTTTGATTATAAGATACTGGCCTAGACCTCACTGGTAGTGTTATTTATATACAGTGTATTATATTTTCTAAATTCTGAAAACTCAAAATTACATAAAACACTTGTCCCCAAGGATTTCAAGTAAGAGATTGTGGATTTTTTTTTACATACATGTTGGTTTTTTTAGTTCACTTTTAGATATGTTGAATTGTAGCCGCCATCAAGCCTTCAAGTATAGCCTGAATGCAGTTGGGTATATGAGTTAGAAATTTATGGGAGAGATTAGGCATGGAGAAGCAGATTTTGGATTTTTCATTATATAGACAATAGTTAAATAGATATCATAAGAGTACATGTCAGAAAACATGCATTGTCAGAACAGCAGTGGGAACATCAGTGTGTAAGGGGTAGATAAGTGACAAAGGTAAGTGTGGCAAAGAAAGTATGAATTGGCCTGAGCAGAGGTGCAATAATTCTGGGCTATGACGAATGACCACAGCCCTGGAGTCTGCTGGCTGCAGTTCTCAATAGAGTTATTGTCAGATACCAGAGTGAACTCAGTCTTCTGGAGTGTATATGCAGAGGGAGGGGTAAGAAAAGTCTTTGATGGTGGCCTCTGTGTCCAGGCTCAGGAATCTAGACCTCAACATTCCTTAATAACCAAGCATCTTTTCATCAGTCCTCCTAAGAATGGGTGTTCAGGCTGCCTCTCCTGGAAGAGTTCTGTTAAAGGGTCTGCAGTTTCCTAGCCCCATCACATCTCTGTGGGCCCAATCTTCTAGCAAGTGCGCCACATCTTAAAATTAACAAGCTACTACAGTAGTGCAGTTTGCAGGAAGTTGGTCCTCATCATCATACTAGGCCAGAGGAGACCAGAAAGAGGTGTTGATATCTTCCTATTTATTCCTTCAGATAGGCTGTGTTGCAATCCTTAACAGGAGCATTTAGAAAATACCTGCCAGTGGACGGCCACTTTCAAAGAGGGGGTAATGGAAAGACTTCAGGTCCACCTCCAACTTGCCCACTGCAAAACTTTTACATCTGCTCCCCTGTATAACGGAAGAAGAATCCTTTTTTCATTTTCAGTTGAATGTTCTCAGCCTTAAAATGTGTGCCTTTTGTTCATTCTAATTCGCCTACATCTGCATAAAACAAAAGTTCATTTTTAGAGCAGTGTGGAGGGAGACTGTGCACAATTCCAGTTATTGTATGGAAAAGCTGTGCGCCTAACGTTTTATTCAGCAAGAAAATAATATATCCAAGATGTTAATGTGGGTGTTTTCTGTAGTTCATACTGGTGATGTCTTGTCTATCGCTCAAGAAACAATGGGCACTTATTTGGGAGTGCTTAGATTTAGTTACATTACTTTATTTTTTATTTCAAATGGCTCTCAACTGTTAAGTGGGTGAAAAAAAAACAAGTTAATTTCATAAATGTTTTAAATAATTGTCGTAAGTTCTAATTTTACATACAGCAGAAACATTTGAAAGTTTATAATGTTAATATTATATCTTAGCAAGCAGATATGAAGAACATTAAATAAATATTTTGGTGTTTATTATGACACAAGTATATCTAGTCTTCGGCTAATTCTGTGCACATTTTCGTTTCAAAATCACTTCTCTTCCAAGATGCAAATAAATGGAAGCATATACCATGCTCATGGATAGGAAGAATCAACATTGTTAAAATGATCTTATTACCCAAAGCAATCTATAGATTTAATGCAATCCCTATCAAAATACCAATGCCATTTTCAGAGTGCTAGAATAATCCTAAAATTTATATGAAACCATAAAAGACACTAAATAGCCATGACAATCATGAGAAAGAAGAACTAAGTTGGAGGCATCGTACTATATGATATCAAATTATACTACAAGGATATAGTAATCAAAACAGCACGGCACTGGCATAAAAACAAACACAGAGATCAGTGAAACAGAATAAAGAGCCCAGAAATAAATCAATGCCTATATGGTCATTTAATCTATGACAGAGGAGGCAAGAAATACTATGGGGTAAAGATGGTCTCTTCGACAAATAATATTGGGAAAACTGGACAGATAACATGCAAAATAGTGAAACTGAATCACCTTCTTACACCATATACAAGAATAAACTCAATGGGTTAGACTTAAACGTAAGACTCCAAACCAAAAACTCTAGAAGAAAATATAGACAGTAAACTCTCTGATATTGCTATTAGTAATCTTTTCCTGATATATCTCCTTGGGCAAGGGGGGAAAAAAAGAAAAAAATAAACAAATGAGACTACATCAAACTAAAAAGTTTTTGCACAGCAAAGGAAAACATCAACAAAATGAAAAGACAACCTATTGAATGGGAGAAGATATTCACTTATGATACAACAGATAAGGGGTTAATATCCAAAATATGTAAAGAAATTACGCAACTCAACAACAAACAATCCAATTTTTAAAAAGGGCAGAAAACCTGAACAGTTATTTCTCCAAAGAGGACATGAAAAGATGCTCAAGATCACTAAACATCAGAGAAATGCAAATTTAAACCACAATAAGATATCACCTCACACATGTCAGAATGGCCATCATCAATAAATCAAGACAAGTGTTGGTTAGGACGTGAATAAAAGGGAACCCTCATGTATTGTTGGTGGGACTGCAAATTGGTACATCCACTGTGGGAAACAGTTTGGAGGTTCCTCACAAAATTAAAAATAGAACTACCTTTTGACCCAGCAATTGCACTTCTGGTATTTATCCAAAGAAAACCAAAACACTAACTCAAAAAGATAAGTGAACCCCTATGTTCACTGCAGCGTTATTCACAATAGCCAAGATATGGAAGCAACTTTAGTGCCCGTTCAATGATTGGGTAAAGAAGTTATGGTACATATATACAAGGGAATATTACTCAGTCACAAAAAATGAAATCTTACCATTTGCAATAACATGGATGTACCTAGAGGGTGTTATGCTGAGTGAAATAAGTCAGACAGAGAAAGATAAATATCATGTGATTTCACTTATATGAGGAATCTAAGGAAAAAAAGGAACAAATTAAACAAAAACAGACTCATAGATGCAGAGAACAAACTGATGATTGCCAGAGGGGAGGGGATTGGGAGGCTGCATGAAACAAGTGAAGGGATGAAGTACAAATTAGTAGTTACAAAACAGTCATGGGGACATAGAGTACAGCGTAGGGAATATAGTCAATATTATTGTAACGGCTATGTGTAGAGCCAAATGAGTGATAATCAGGGGGATCGCTTCAAAAATTATATAAATGTCTAACCATTGTACTGTATACCTGAAACTAGTATAAAAATCAATTCTCTTCCAACACTACTGAACTGTATACTTAAAAAGGGTTAAGATGGTAAATTTTATTTTATGTATATTTTACCACAATTAAAAACACTTCTAAATCTTCAAAATTTGGAAGCATTCACTTAAATGAAGAAAGAAGTACTTTCAATTACTGCTTATTTCAGTTTGAGAGACCTCATGGATTTGTTTTCATATAAAGTGATTATGAAGGTTTGATTTTCAGATGTTTTATGCATATACTCAGAGAAACATTTTACTTAAAAATATGGAACATTTCATGAATTTGTGTGTCATCCTTGTCCAGGGGCTGTGTTAAATCTTCTCTGTATTGTTCCAGTTTTTAGAACATGTGCTACCAAAGTGAGCACCACATGTTATATTTATAACTCTAGAAAAGATTACTCTGCATCACAGATTTATAGAGCAATAAAAGACCTATGAGTCACATCGAGGTTTTCAAATGACAGTTCTTTGTTCTACAAATGAGCAAGTTGAGTTCTAGATTAGCTCAAGAACCTGGGACTAGCATCTAAAGCCTTCTTCAAAGGGGTACCACTTGGTGACAGAATAGAAAGCTGAGCCCTGAAAAGTCAAACATACTGTAGATAACATTTCAAAAAACAAACGACACAAAAAAAGTAATTACCTGCTCCACTTCACTCCCTCATACCCACTCTGCAGAAGCAGCCACTTTTATTTATTTTAATCTCCAAATCTCTACTACTCCATGATTGTTCATGTTTAAGCATTATCAGTTGTTTTATCATTACTGAAGATGAGGATTGAACCCGCTTCTACCACCATCAACACACACACATAAACAACTTCTCTCAATAAGGTCATATCATGAGTTTAGTTAATCCATGTTTACGCTGCTATGACAATGAAATATGCCAATCACAGTTGAGTCATCTAATATACTATGGCAATTTTTCCTTTCTTGCTTATCTTTTTGAATTGGTACTTTTTTTTCTTTCGTAGTGTTTTATGTACTATTTAGTCAACCCTAAATTCCTCTCCAGTTATATAGATCTCCTCTCAAAATATTTAAACACAGTAATTACTCTATTTTGTCTTGGAAACATATCTCTGGTAGCCTTCTGACTGTCTCTAATCTGGGCTCTTTACGCTGTCACCTTGGTGATTTCCTTCTTTTGTACAACCAACATCTTCCCCTTTGTAGCATAATCCCTCATTTTGGTCAAGCAATAGCTTCTCGATAAAAGGTACATAAGTAAAATTTTTGAGAATTTGTGTATCTGGAAACCTTTTTATAGGCTGGAGATGATTTTCCCTCAGAATGTTGAAGGTATTGATCCATTTTCTTATTGCCAATGTTATTTGATAGATTCTCAGTCCTTTGCATGAAATCTAGTTACTTGTACTGAAATTTCACAATGATGTACTTTAGTGTGGGTCTATTCTTATTCATTGTGCTAGGCATTGGAAACTGATGGCTTTCAGTTAAACTTTCTTGACTTATTTCACTGATGATTTCCTCTGTTCTGTTTCCTCTGTTCCTTTTTATGAGATGCTTATTACTCAGATCCAAGGCCTTCTCTTCTGGTCTCCTAATTTTTCTTTCCTATTTTTCAACTTTTTGCGGGGGGTGGGGGGAAGGGTGTTGGCTACTGCTTTGTGGACAATTTCTTCAACTTCATCTTCTAAGTCTTCTATTGAGTTTTTCATTTCTATTTTCATTTATAAGACTTTTTGTTTTCTGAATATTCCTTTCCTATGGCCCCTTGGTTTTTTATTTTTTATTTTTATTGGAGTCAAACTTTTTACTATTTCAGAACCTGAGGATATCAGTGGTTCTTTAAAATGTCTTTTTCTTGCCTCATAGTCCCACTTTCTTCCATCTTCCTTCCTTCCTTCGTTTACTCCTTCCTTCTTCTCTCTTTCTCTCTCTCTCTCTCTCTTAATCCTTTCACCTTAAAGCCTTCCTCAAATGCCTGGCTATCCCTGGCTGTTTGCACATGTTTTGGTTGGGGCCACAAAGTAGCTGACTGGAAGAAATTGGAAGATTTGTTGACTGTAGTGTTTCTGAAGTTGTACTCCTTCCTGGGGTATTTCCAGTGTCAGCTGTCAGATTTTTCACAAAGGAATCTTCTAATCTCCTGGCTGGAGAGCATGAGCTTGACTGCCAGCATTAAGTAGCTAAGTGAGGAAAAAGGGCATAGGTTCTACATATTCTGATTATAAACTTTCATATTATCCTCTGCATCAGTCAAGGTCCAAGAGGTTAACTATAAACTGGTATAGAGAAATTTAAAGAATACCTGTCAAGGGGTAAGGGAGAATATCAAAAGAAGGCACAAACTTAGAAGGGAGTTCTTTTCCTCATGTCTGGGATTCAGATCTTGTTGGCCAAGGCATGGCTGTAGCCACTGGTTAGCAGAGTTTACTAGGTTGTCTGGGGTCCCAGGGAAGCAGAAAGCATCCCCCTAGGGAGCAGTCTGACCGAGGCTGGCAGCAGGGAACCATGGCTGGGACTGGGAAAAAGAAAACACTTCACTGAGATACAGGTGGGCCAAGGCTGGAACGCCCCTACAGAAGATGGGCAGGAAGTGCCTCACCACAAGGCTGAAGGGCAGGCTCATCGAGGGAGTCAGGACTTCAGGAGCCTACTTGCCAGCCAGAGAAGTGGTCACAAGGCCAGGGCCAGGGCTGTAAGCTCACTATGGGACTGTGTATGCTGGGGCTGAGTGCCACTGGATGTCCTCTCCCCTTCCACACACCACTGACAACTGGATGGTAATAATAAGCAAAATGAAACATTCCAGAGGTAAGGAAAAAGATATGCTTAGAGGGTCCAGCTCATTATTATCACAGTGTAGGCAACTGTATTAGTTTGCTAGGGCTGTGGTAATGAAGTACCACAGGGTGACTTACAGAAATTTAGTTTCACAGTTCTGGAGGCCAGATGTCCAAAAGCAGGGTGTTGGCAGAGTTGGTTCCTTCTGAGGGCTGTGAGGGAAGGATCTGTTCCAGGCCTCTCTTCTTGTCTTATAGATGACGGTCTTCTCCTTTTATCTCTTCATGTATCTTCTGTGTCTATGTCCAAATCTTTTATACCTGTCATAATGGATTAGGGCCACCCTGATGACCTTCAGTTTATTTCTGAAAAGGCCCTGTCTCCAAGTAAGGTCACATTCTGAGGTATTGGGGGTTAGGATTTTAACATGAATTTTGGAGGACCACAACTCAACTTATAATTGCAATGAAATGTAGATTTGAAGATGAGATGTAATAAATTGAAAACTGGCACACTCCTTGTTTTCAGTATGGAATCCCACCCTCAACTGTTTCTGGTGTTTTCCTGTCTAGAGATCCTCTATTTTACTCTTTCTAGAGAATAAACACACAGGCATATGCTGGGATGTTGGAGGCGCAGCTGCCAAGCTGTGCAGCACTGAAGGTTGTTTGGAGGTTAAACTGAGGTCCTAGACTGTCAACTAATCCTATTTTCAGCCTACTTTCACTCCAACATCCAGAGGTACCTGTCACACTCATGAACATTAGGGGATTCTACAGGGGGTGGTGGGTGGGTTGCTTCTTGGCATTCCCCACTGTTGGCTTAGGAGTCAGGTTTCTCGGGTCTGCTGTTTTGCTTTCATTTCCAAAATGTTATTGCTGTTGTCTCCTGTTGTTCTGACTTTATAAGTTTATCATTAATTTTGGAATTTAGATTTACAGAAAAATTGCAGATAATATCCTTATACTGTTAACATCTTAATTGTCACTGACCTTTGTCAAAACTAAGAAATTAACTGGTAAATTACTAGTAACAGATTTCACTAGTTTTTCCACTGATGTCTTCATTGTTCCTGGATTCCACACTGCATTTAGTTGTCACATCTTAGTATCCAATTTGTGACTGTCTTTCCTTGTTTTTCATGACCTTGATACTTTGGAAAGAATACTGGCTAGGCATTTTGCACAATATCCTATTTGTACATGTTCCTCATTAGACTGAGGTTACGGATTTGCAGGATTAACAGTGGCAATATGCCCTCATCACATATTTGGGGTACATGATATCCATATATCACTGATGTTAACCTTGAACACTTGGGTAACATAAAAAGTTCAGCGGTAGCTCTCTTCTGTAAGGCTGATGGTAGATAAGGCTGTTCTAGAACTAGATTTGCTGGTAGCAGTGGAGATTAAATTCTACCCCCTTCAACAATAAAGGTTAGGTGGACACCATTATCTGATGTGCAACAGGGCTGGAAAGGCAGCCAAGGAGACTGGACCCACAGTATGGATATGGCTAACAGAACAAGCACATCTAGGGAAAACAGATAGGCAGCCAACTACACTATGCAGTATTTATCATCAGAGTATCAATGATGGAAAACAAAAAAGCTGAGAGCAGTTGCCTTAATCTAAAAAATAACGATTCCTTGCCATTACCTGAGCCAGTTTTCCAACCCGAAACACACTGAAGAGGTTGGGTTCCCAGGAGGAAATTCCTTGCAACACAGCAAGTACTGACTTTAACAAGTCCCCTGGTCCTGCCCCAGGAATAATTATGGGCTTATACTCAGGTAACTGTACACTGAAGGGGGATACTCAAATATTTTGAGGGAGGGCTGTGGGAAACAGGGTCTAAGTAGACACTGATGCCCAGAGATCTGAAGCACCATCATGGGGAGTACAGGAATAAAAGGAATGCTGGTCAAGTTATAAATGTGTATGTACTAAGTGCTCACATTAAAACTGCACGTGCTCTATGGACCCTTCTGGTGGCCACTCCCATCTCTGTATTTATAACCAGAACTGACACTTAGTAACTGTCATGGCTCCCCACATACACCTTTAGCCTGTGGGATATAGGCTGAAGCCAAACAGAAGCCTCTGCAATTGCTACGCTCTCCCCTTTCACACTGCCAACCAAAATAGTAAATAATGAGCTCTTTTCAGATTATAAGACCAAAAGCAATTCATTCACATATAACAGACAACACACATGTACAGTTTTGCCCCAGGGCCATGTTAACTCTCCTGCCATCCTAAGTGTGAAGAGATCTGGACATCTGGTCATTCCATAGGATGTCACATTGACACACTTGAACTTACTGAACTGGATAAACCAGAAATGGCTAACACACTGGAGGCCCTGATTATGTTACCACAGTATGGGAGATAAATAAACCTTAAGATTGTTTCCATTCAATCTTTTCCAGGAAAGAAAAAAACGACTTGGAAGCTCAAAGAGCACACTTAAAATAGCCAAATAATAAAGAAGAAAAACAATAAAGAAAAACAATGCACAACTGGTTGCCACTGGAAAATAGGAGGGAAGCAACTCACTTTGAAACTCACAAACAATGGGAAAGAATCAAGCATTTATACTGTTTTTCCTATATGTAACCAAATAGTGAATGAGGGCGTTTTTCTATTGCAGCTAACAAATGAAGGAATGATACAACTGGAATACTGCCGTTCCATAATTAATTGATAGATCTGGGCCTTCTCTAACATCAATGACAGCTCATAATCCAGTAAGAGACAGCTAGACATTGTGTCATCTATGGGGTAATACTGCCCCCCCTTCAAAATGAAACAAAAAATCTGAATCTGATTAAATCTGTGGACCAAAAACAAATTTACAATACCAAAAGGACAGAGGAGTATGTTAAATGATATCGAAGGAATGCATAATCAGCAAAATCTGGGAAACCTGACAACCTGTTTTCTTCATAAATTAATTGCAGGGGAAACAAGAGATGGGGGGACACTAATGTAATACATAGATTTTAATTAGATCTTGATTCAAACAAATTATTCACAAAAAATTTTTTTTCTGGTGATAACGGTATTTTGGTGTGTGTGTTTTAAGGAGTATATTTACATACTGAAATCTTTATGAATAAAAGCATATCTAGGATTGTTTCAAAATAATATGAAGGGGGGTGCACACAAATGGGGTTTCGGGTTAAACAAGATTAGCCATGAGTTGATAATTGTTGAAATTGAGTGGTACTTGGAGATTCATTATCTTCTCTGCTTTTATATATGATTGAAAATTTCTATAATAATTTAAAAAGATAAAAACAAAAAAAATCCAATCACCACTAGTATTTAGTAAGTCTTTAGTTTTCTCCAGCTAGACTTGAATGACCACTGAGAAAGTAGTGAAAAACAAACTTTAACACATCTTACACAGGTTAATAATTCAGGTTCAGATGAACAGAACCATGTAAATCACACTAATATGTTGAGACTGATAATTCATTTCTAGCTCTTAATCCTTCAGCCTACATATTTAATACTGTCAAAAGAATACACAATACATTAGCAACAAAACATTCATGAATGACATATTAGTCAATATTTTGTCAAAACAGAAGGCCACTGAATCATATAAAATCACTCTAATACTTCATTAAATAAGTTTAAAGAAAGTTAATACATTTCAAAAAAATTTTCTTCTTTATTTAAACATAAAACACATTTACAGCATGCAGGTTAAAGTAAAACTTAAAATTATATGGCGTCTTCCAAAACCAATTATCTTTGAATGTATCTTCAAGCACTGAAAACAAACCAACAGATTCCACAGGTAGACTCAGACTCTTATCACTTCATGTCAAATTGAGTTATGCACAGTAGTATTCTTAAGTTAGGCAAATAATTTAATTGATCATTGTGAATAAATATTACTTTTATTTCACCGTTTCTTTTCTGAACCATTTATCAATACCAGTCAAAGGAACATTTATATATTCGTTCAAAAAAAAAAAAAGACACTGCAAATTGAAATAAGTGCCAATGTTCTAGATGATCAGAAATTTTCACTTATAAGAGTAAATGCTGTGTTTAATGACCTACATAGCAAAGAGTTCACTGAAAACATATTTATGAAATTCTTTGTACACTTTGTGAAAGTTTGAAATTATAAATAGAATCACTGAGAAATTTTAAAAAACCTAACATTGTGTATTCTGAACTACATGCTAGTTACAATTCATTGTTATACAGCACCAATACCCGTGATACAGCTAATAAGAATGAAACTACCATATTTAGACGAGAAAAAAAATTCTGCTTCATTTATGAATATTGCCAAAGCAGCAAGTTTTCATTTGAAAACAAAATATAAACATTTACGTGTATGTAGCCAAATATTTCTCCATTTAGAAAACTATCATAATAGGCTGGAGCACTGCTTCTTAGTTAATTGCATTATTTCAATCTTGCTGCGCCAAAGTTTCATCCTAATTCTTTGGAGTGTTTCCTTTGATCAATCCTAAAAGCAACACAATCATTTTAAAGGTTGCAGACTACAACAGCAAAAATTTTTGACTGTTAAAAAAATAAATAAATAAGTTTATCTTTTAAATGGAAATTATATAAAAGTGGAAATTACAATAGTTAAGGAAATAGAAAAATAAGCCAATTATGATCTGAGTCTTCTGACTATGGCTCCAAATTTATTACAAATATCTGTATATAAAACTTTTTCAAAAAGTTAATTCTGCCAGCCAGATCCTAACACAGAACTTACCAAATTTCTTTCTCTACTGACTGAATAACCTTAAATCCCCATTTTCCCCAAATTTCTGCTAACACAGTTGCAGTCGCCCTCCCCCCACTGATGAAGCAAATATTGAAATCTCTTTCTCTATTACTTTTAGAGATTCCTAAAACAAACTGTTGATTTAGTTTAATCATCTGAGGAAGAGGTGGCAAAAAAACAAGTACACTTAGCACTAACTACAAAATTAAGGGCTATAGCCAAAAAAATAATTTGAAGATTACTAGTGACTTGCAAACGATGACCTATTTCTAGGTTAAACAAGAAATAAATTATATTGTATAACAGTGTAGCAGGTTAAAAATACCTCAGGGATTTCAGACCAAAATTTACCTGCATATTTATAAATTCTCCATATTATTTTTCCTGTTCTTCCACTTTCCCCCCCATAGGCTATAAATTTAGATCAACCAATACAGTACTAACAATATAAAATTGTTTTATCCTATAATTTATTTCACTATATTAAGAGGACAAATATCTGTCCAATTCTTATGTTAACTAGTAGGCTCACCAGAATGAAGCAGGGTATTTTCATTCCATCAAGCTATGCTGATTATAGAACAGGGAAAAAGAGAAATACAATTCCTTTTCAAACTCTTTCTTAAACTGAGATTTACTTTTGATGTCAAATATTTCTATTCAAGAAAATTCAGCAACATGCATTTCATGAGATAATTATGTAGCCTTACTCAGTCTCAAATGCCTATTTCGGCAGTTTTAAGGTTTCAGTGCACATACAGTAGTAGTTTTCAGAAGCAAACTTCAGAGATGATACAAATAATTTTGACTCTGAAATCATTTCAAGGGATATTGAAGTACAGTACTGACTTGATACATTTTGTGGGCATGTAGTGTTTAAGTGGTAAAATTTAAGACATTTAACCTAAGTGTTCCATTTTCCCTAACATAAGGAAGACACTTTAATAAGAAAAACAAGAAGCGGTAGCAGCTAGGTAATTTAAACTGGGATTAAAAAATAAACACAAACAAAAAAAGTACAAAAAGCACAATCCTATACGGTACAGTTAGCTTGGCACAGTGAAAACTAAATTTAAGACATAAAAGACAAACTGTGTAATAAATAGGGCCACAGTTGTAAACTGTAATTTTTCCCTCCTAAGACGCCAAAATTGCACTCTAGTTGTGTTGGGAAGCAGCAGAGTTTATAAGAGTGGGTAGGAAACAGCTGTACAGGCCAAATATAATTTATACATTAAAAAAGTTATAATTCTACAATTCCCAGGGGGTAAAGGTTATAGTCATTGAATGACTGTTTGATATTAAGTCCTCTTCATACTCCTATTATTTTCAACACCTGAAAATGGGAGAAAGAAGACAGAAAATATTTTTATTTGCATAAAACTTGTGTCTGAGATAAACGTGAAAGGAATAAAATATACCAATAGTTTATAAACATTTTGGCCAACAGTTTTGACCACTTCCCCCAAAATTAAAAAAAGGCAGCATTAAATGATCTGATTTCTTTTCCTTTAAACTTATCTCTTACATAGAGCTATTATGAGCAGTACTATGTTTAAAAGGCCATTCATTTTTTATTTCTCCCCGAGAGCTACGAGTAAGTTGATGTATGAATTATATCTTTTCTTTTTTTTTAAAGATGGAAGCCAGTAGACAGTGTCAGTGACATTCTTAAGCCAAGGACCACTAACTAGGAATGTTATATATTTTGCAATTAAAAAAAAAAGGGAGAGGAGGTTAAGAGGGGTGGAGAAATAGGAATACCCAAGAGGTGCATATGGTAGAAAAATGACAATGAAAATAAGTATCAGTAACTGTTACCTGGAGGCATCCCCATATTAAACTGTCTACTCACCAATGTGTTTAGAAAAACTCAACATTCAAAGTATGCAAGCTAGAAGACCAGCCATGTAAAACTGGGTACTAAGAGTGTCGGTATTAATATGTTGCCATCTTCCCCCAAAGTGAAATGCTTTTCTTAATAATTAAAAGAATTTAAAAATTCTTCTATAAAGTATTTAAGTTTTTAGTAATTTATAACTTAAGATCATATACTCCTCTCCACCACGGTTTAAGATTGATTGATGCAATAATTAAAAAAAAAACAAAAAAACCTCTACTATCCTTCGGACTAGCAATGAGACAAACCTGTAAATGTTTATACATTTATAATTACTTCAAGTCTCAAAAATCTTGTTTAGCTAAGTTAGCTATCTCTCTCTCATGTGCTAATAAACTGCTGTCGTTACACTGGGATCAGCATTCTACTTTCAAGCTAAAACCTGGCTACATCTAACAAAGGTCATGATCTATGTTCTCTGCAAATGATGTTATCAGTTCAAAGTTTACATAGGAATTTTAATCTGAGCACAATATACACAAAGGATAAACTTTCACCTATATCCAGTTATGCTTTCAAATGCCCTTGCCCACCTTCAACTTGCAGAAAAGAATCCGTTTTGTAATAGGTAATAACATCTTAACTTGTGTAATTCTCAAGAATGACTTCTATTTTACTAATAAAGGGGCTCAAAAGTAAATACAGCAGGTCCTCAAATTGCATCGTTTTGTTCATTGGTGTTTCGTTATAACATCGATGTTTATATTAATTAGCCTATGATCAAACTGGCTTCATTATACATCATTTTGCTTAAAGTTGCAGAACTTAGCAATGACATTTAGTGAGAACTTATAATACTCCAAAGGAGGGAAATAGAGGCCATCCCTAACAGGCAGGAAAACTAGCTATTTTATGTCTACCAATGTGACACGATATTAAGCACATATAACTTACCATATAGTCTTGGTAAAAATGTTTATGCTAAATCTAAAATTGCTTTTAATACATAGGGAATAGAGGAATAAGGCAACTACAAACAGAAACAATCAAACACACCTAGAAAGTGGCATATGCCCAAGATAACTTGCTTAGTCTCTCTTTAGTAAGTCAATGTCATTATAAAAGGGGGTTATTTTAGATTAAAAGAAACTTAAGGAATATAAGCAAGTGCAAACAGTGGTCTTGAATTGTACCTTGGTTTAGATAAATCAGCTGTGAAGGACTTAAAATGAAGAAATCTGAATAGAGACTGGTATTAGGTAATATTAAAAATATTTTTAGTTGCTAATTGTTAGCTATATTTTGTTGATAATGTTATTGTGGCTATGAAGAAAAATGTTTTAGAGATATTAAACAGGTCATGAATGGTTAGAGTCAAAATGAAAAAGAAACTGTTAAAAAAGTCACTTGCTCAAGTTCATAAAGTAGGATTCAAATTTAAAACTTCAAAGTCTGTGCTCTTTTCACTTTATTGCTGCCTTTTAAATCCTATACTATGTGACAAAAAATATTAAATTATTTGTAATGTGAATACTCCAGAATACTGCTTCATTCTCTAAACTGAGAACCAATGTTATGCAAAACATCAAAGTAAAAACAAGATTAAAACAAACTGACTTTAGTATTTGTCAGAAACAACAGTTAACCATCTCATAATAATCTAATATTTTTAGTTTCTAAAGCATCTACACATTTGAGACTTCTGAAAGAATTAAAATATTAGGCAGCTATTAACCAATCATGTTGTAGAAGAAAATGTACAGGATATATTACTAAGATAAAGAAGTAGGTTACAAAGTAGCATAAGTAGAATAGGAGTAGTATGTTATTGGAATATTTATTAACAGCTTAAACCTTTTAATTTAAAAGTTATAATATGTAAAGAAAGCTACAGAAAAATACAACATATTGGGTGGTATCTCTAGATCATTTTTATCTTCAACTTTGCGATATTTTTTAATCTCCTACAAGGGAACGGATATTACTTATAAATTAAAAACAAATTAATAAATATAAGAACTTATAAATCTGTTCAAAAAATCACTTGCAATAGGTAAACAGAAAAGGACACAGAAATAACTCAAAAAATAAGTGGGCAAATAAAAATGTGAGAAATTCAATTTCATTAATAATAAGATGTTTATTTTGGCCTATTATGTTCAAAGCTTAAAAACTACTAATACTCAATGCTGGCAAAGATGCAATAAAATGGGGAGCATCTTTGGCTAATATGCCATTTGGTGCAGTCTTTCTGGAGAGCAGTGTGTTAATATGTATCAAGAGCCTTAAAAATGTTCACATTTTCTTATAATTTCACTTTTGGGAATCTTCTGGAAATAATAGATAAGCGAGTATAAAAAATTTTTCACACTTCAAATTTCATCTATAGAAATTTCAATTTTGGAAAATTTCAAATATAGAAAAATTAATATACTTAATTACATGCCCAGTAAAAGGGAATATTTATAAACTATAGTATATCTATTAGAATACCAAGATCTTCTAAAATGATCTAATGTTAGGTTGAAAACAATAACATAAATTTGAATAATATGATCTGAATTATGAAAAATAGACTAGAAGGAATTATGCCGTTACATTCACAATTACATACATTTAAAAAATCATGACATTAATGTGAGAATCCAAAAAAAATGTTTAACATTTTTCTTTAGTTTAACATTTCCATTTACAGCTATGATTCAAAAGCCAGATACAGACTACAAACCTGTGGGTACGGTGTAACCCTTACACTTGTTTGCCGCCTCCACCTCGTACTGCCACTGGCTGGCTGTTCTGAGTAAACGCACCTCCTCCGCGAATTGCACTTGGATGAGTTGGAGAAGCTGCTGGATGTTGCCCAGGACGAATAGGTTTAGCTAAAACAAAAACCAAAAACTGGCTTTAGAATAAATCTTAATACACTATAATGATTTTTTAGACCTCTTTGTTTACAATAAATACCCAAGTGTTTTGTTTTTCTCTGCTTTTTTGTTTCTTAGAAAATTCCTCTAGCTCTCTTTTTAGTTATATCCTTTCTTCCAGGACCTATAAAATCTAGCCTCTTATACCTATTCCTTTATCAATGATTATTCTGAAGAATGAAATATTGCTCAACACAGTTTTCTCTATCCCTGACCACTCTTGCTTGTCTAGTTCCTATTTATCTTCTTGTCCTGTTAATGTGGTTATTCCTCAACTTCTTTGTCTCTATGGTAATAACAAATACCACCATTACAGCACATAATTAATGAATCAGAATATGTTTGCAAGTAAATGAAAACATTCAAACTAAGCAAGGTTTAAAGGTTTTAATGTGTTCAACTAACCAATTTGTGCTGAATGTCCTCTTCTGGCCATATTCTTTGACCTGACTGCTTCCTTTATACGATCTACTTCTTGCTGATACCGTTTGCGATCACGAGATGCATTTTCTTTGGCTTCTTTCAGTGCTGACTCCAGAGCTTTCACTCTCTCAGCTGTAGCTCTAAGTCTCTTTTCCAACTTGGGAAGTTCACAGCGAAGATCTGCATTATCACGTACCAACTAAAAGTACATGAAGAAAATTAGGATTCTAGCTTTAATAAGATGATTGGATAAAGTATGAACATTGTATAATTTCTCTTTAGAAAAAAAGTAAAACTACATTTTATACTAAGGTTTTCCAATTAGCTAACTTAATTTAGGCAGCAACAAGCAAGGAATACATACATCCATACATATCACACATATGTATTATAAAAATTTTATTTAATTTTTTTTGGAGGGAGTTGTTCCTACCCTCTACTAGGCAATAACAATAAGTTAGAACATAATATTAGGTCTCTTCATTAAGATATTAATCTTTTAGAAATGAATACCCTTTAAACATACTAAGATCCATGAGCACCCATAAATTTAGCAACCCCCTCAGGAAGTTCTGAAAGCAAAAAAGGCTAAAACTTCTTTAACCTTACTCTAGGTGCAAACATCTAGTATAAGCATCAGGTTTACAACAACAAAGATATGCAATAATTTTGGAGCAAAAAAATATTTTTGTAATTAAATCATTTATCAAGCCATAATTAAAAATAAGACATAATAAACACTTTTTAAAAAATATGAGCTGCCTCATGATATTATATATTTCATACCTGGGGCATTAAATGTAAAAGGACCAAAAAAGTTGTATTTTAGTTGCAAAGACCTAACAGATATTTTAATTATCGTGAGCAAATTAAGAAAACTGACCTGGATTTTCAGAAAGTAAGAATACTTACTTCATTGGCTTCTTTTGATAAAAGGGTTGTTAAAAATATTAATTTCCCTAAAAATGTGTAGTGGTTTCTTTATATAAATGCTTGATAAATGGAATGGCTCAGGGTATGAAAATTCAAATAAATACTTGCCACTCCTTAAAATTCTTACAATGCTGCAGCTACCACAAAATATATTCTTTATTACCTGCTTGTGCACTTTAGTGAGTTGTTCGAGATTATTTTCAAGAAATGAGATCTTTTGCTTTTGAGCAGCACTGCCTCCAGTGTCATCAGAATCGATTTCTGCACTCTGAGAAAAAGTCAATGAATACTATTAAAAATTCAAAGCTCAAAGAAACTCCTAAACTTAACCAAACAAAAACTGTTATGTCATAAAATTATTTCACTTATGAATACAAAGCATTACACATAGAAGGCACCATTTATATAGATACCCACATCTAAGTATAGTTATATTACCTTTTTAACTCTGGTGGCCAGGTCCTGAACAAAGAGCTTCCGCAGGTTATGTAAAGTCTGAAGTTCTTTTGCCTTAAATTAAGAACAGCAGTGTTTTTGGAGTTCAGACTTCAATTTTAATACAACCAAGAAGAAAAAACCCATTAACATTCCCCAATCCTATTTATCTTCAGGTTTTTCTTACCACTGTCTCTTCCAAACCCTTCAAGTCTTGTCTTGCTTGTTCTCGTCTATCTTGCATAACCCTAGACAGAGGAAAAACATACATACATATTTTCGACTTTTGATTCTATAAAATTCTAGTTTTATTTAACTCAAGAGTTGAATCAAATTTTTTTTATCTGAAAGAATCAATTCTTGAGTTCAAATAAATGAAAAATGCTTATTTTTAAAAAGTTTACTCATGTTGTCTTTCAAAGAAATTCTTAAGCCTTAAGATCTCCTAAATCTATAACTCATCAGAAATAACTCTCCTCGTATAGCAGTAGAAGAGATAAAATGTGGCAGAATTCAAATAATAATAAATCACTTATTTATATTTAGAATATGTCACATACAGTATCCTGTTATTCATCCAAAATAATTCTGATTACCTGGAAATTACAGAGACAATAAATTATCTAAGAACAAAGTATTTTACGTATTTTACTTAAAATTACTTCCAAAAAATCATGGTTGAGATTCAGCAGAATATTTATAAAATCAACTCTGAGCTGGTCCTGATGATGGTGTTATCATTCTAACAATAGCAGTTCATTTACAAACTTTAGAATGATGGTGTTATCATTCTAACAATAGCAGTTCATTTACAAACTTTCTCTCATAAATTCAAGGCATGTGAAAAATTATAATTCTGAGTCTTCTATCTGCTCAGATTCTAAAAACTTGAGTACTGACTGACTATAGTCTTAGTAAATTAGAAAAAATAAGTGGTGAAAAACCTCTGTTCAAAAGGCAAGGCTAACATACCAATGTCCCTTTATGCAAGATCAATTTTGACAAAAATTCAGTTTTTTTAGCAGATCCTAAATCTTTTAAATTACTTAATGCCATATTTTAGGTTCATTCTTGACAGATCTTGACATAAAATGTTGGCTCAGAAATAGGAAACAGTCTGATAAATATGAATCTGAATCTTAACCATCACTGAAATATCAGACCTTGTTTCATTAAAGCACAAGGCTGATTTACACTGCAAATTTTTAGGTATAAATCAAACCAATGCAGAAGGTTTAAGAAAAACACTCTCTAACCTATACAAAGTGAAAAATGTATCTACTGGATACATCCAATAGCAATGCCTGCAATCCTCTTAGTTTTTAATTTTCAGTTTAAATTAAAACATTTACTTACGTGAGTTCATGTAATTTTTTGCTCTTTTCCTGATCTGTAACTTTCAACTTCTCATGTTCTACTCTCAGACGTTCCTGCTCTAACATCATTTTCTGGTTTTGGCTGAGAAAAAAGGGGCGGGGGGAAACCCCAAACAATATCAACACCACTGCTTTCTAAATGTTATCATTAAAATTTTTCAAAATCTTAAATTCTATAATCTCGCCACTACAAATAACCAAAGGTTTCCTGTGATCCTGTCTGCCATGGGTGCCATAGGTGCCATGGGGCTGGGGGGAAGGACGGGGAGAAGAGGGGAGGGAAGAGGACCTGGCTACTTCCAGCTATACAATATTTTCCAATTTTGGTTTGAAACCATGATTTTATTCTATATCTTTCATCTCTCTGAATCCCTGTCCCTGAATCCATTAGGTATTACTAGTAAGACCCACATCCCAAATTGTTATCATTTTTTCTTACATACCTCTGATTTAGTTGTAGACTTCCTATTTTTACACATTCTATGCTATACAAATATGGTTATGGAAGTAGGAAAACTGTCTTACGAAGAGAACTTATATTTAAAAAAAAAAAAAACTTAAAAAAACCACGACTTCCAATAAAGTTTTTCTCAATAAAGAATAATTTTTAAAAGGAAATTAAGAAAGTGATTTAGAGGCGGTTTCTATTTGTAACAATGGTTGAAGTTTGTTTTTCCTTTTTACTGAATAGTTACATCAAAAGATCTAAAAAGTACTTCACCTGGAACTCATAAGTTATAAATGAAAAAGTTATAATTTCAATGAAAAGGGCAGATATCTAAAAAGAATATATTGTCCACCAGTAACCAATTATTCCCTCTTGTCTAAATAGTCAATCTTTCTTAGCTTTTAATATTTAGAGGAAAGAAAAGTATACTTACTCTTGAAGATCAGTAATAAGTTTTTCTTTTGCCTCAACTTCATCTCTCAAGCTACTAATTTGTTTCTGATGAGTTTCTCTGTGGCTTTGGATCTGCTGTTCAACAGCTTGCTAAAATTATTGGTGGGAAAGGACATTAAGTCAGACTAATAAAGATTAATAATGATGGACTAAAGCCATTAGAATCCAATGTTACATCAAACTTGCCTTAACTTCATTTGCAGTCTGAACCTTATTTAAGTGCTCCTTTTCCATTTCATGGACTTTCTCTGTTTGGGTAGGAAGAGAAAACAAGAGAGAAAATAAGCCTTAAAGTTCTTCATAGAAACCAAAGAACAAATAGGTTTTATGAGGAATATGTATGTTCCTTAGCAATACTTGACTTTAAAATATCCAAATGACAGATAGTAAATCTTGCTTTCCAAGCTCAATGATATGTTGACTGGTACATTTTAGCTATTTCCTTTGTATTGATATTAAGGTTTCTTTTATTTTCTTTGCCTAATCCCAGAACAGATGGGTTAGCGCATGGTAGGGAAACGAAACAGCTTTCTTAAGTTTCTATGTCAAGATTTATGTGTGTATATATACACACATACACACTTCACATATGCACATGCATATATGTATTAACTTTATAACTTTGTGGGAAATTCCCAGATTGACTACTTCCATATTCAAACCCAACTTTGAAAAGTTTCAAAGCCACATTAAAGGCCATATTTGTTTACTATGCCAAGTTATCAGTATTCCTACGATTCTCTATCAGTGTGAATTATGTTTACTACAATTACACTAAAGTAAGCACAAATTAATATAAACATAACTCGGAAATAATTGAAAGTTAATACCTTGTGCTCGAAGCTGAACTAGTTCTTCACTGAGGGAATCAACAGATTCCTCTAGCTGTCTTTTCTTTTGTTCCACATTTTGAAGGTATTCAGTCAATGACTTGATTTTGGCTTCATGCTTTTGGGAAAAATATAATGATGTGAAATGGAAAAATTCTCATGCACATATTTTATTGTTAAGAATATTTGAAAATAAGCAAGTTTTATCAACATACATAAACATGTAATATACTTAACGAAGATACTTAAACCTAAAATGTTCAGGGGCCAAATTTACAATGATGAAGAACTTCATCAATGAAAAGGTCATCTATATAGCTTATAACACTTATAACAAAGGTACTGAAAGCTGAAAAATGAAACATTCTTATTGTTATCACCATATGACATAACCCTCTTCCCTTCTACAATTCCTAACTTGACGAATGGCCTTATCCACTCAGCTGCCAAAGGCAGAAAACTGGCCCTGCAGTTTTGTCTACCCTAGAATTCAACTGGATTCTTGAATAGTCACATCAATCACATCTCTCTAGTAAATCTGTATGTTTAACATATACATGTTAATACAACCTGGTTATATCATTCATGTTATTATAAAGCAGCTAGACTAGGAAAAACTGATTAAATTAACCTATTTTGGTGCTCAAAATAACCTATGGAAGTTCATTTTCCTTAAAACTTTTACAATAAATAAAAGTTATGAGACTATTCAAAGCATGAAGAAACTCTGCTCTGTAATACATACTTGAGAGATACGAAGCTGGCATGCTGCTAACTCCTTTTCATTTTCTTCCATTTTTTTGTTGCTCTCAGTTTGTGTGCTCTCCAACTGTTTGCAGCGTTTTACCATTGTTTTTACTTCTGACTTCATTTTGCTAATATAGAGCCTTGCAACAGTGAATTCTTCATCTATCATGCCAGTTCCCTCAGGCTGCTATGAGAAAAAAGTGAAATAAAAAACAAAAGACAAAAATATCCAGTGTGTGTTTAACCAATTAGATTCTAAAACCAAACAAAATTAAATATATTTTAATATAACTCAGTATTCAAAGGAAGTCAGGGGCTTTTATCTTTTATTAAATATTGGGTGATAAAGAGTAAGTAAAACAAAGCTAAATTTTTGCTTTCCTTTCTAAAAGTTAACAATAATACATGCCTACAGGGAAAAAAATAATGTAAACTGAAAAAACAAACCAAAAAACCTCTGATGAATTGTGCCTCTTTCAGTATTTGGATTTCTTCTTCATAGGCCCTCTTTAGGAAGTTTACTGTTAATCATGTGTAAGTCCCATTTAAAACTTAACAAATAAGGCTAAACAGGTGGCAGGGAAAGGATGACTTTAACCTCACAAAGGAGAAATTGTGGTCACTGTACTATCCAAAACTTTCATGGGTTTCACTATGAAATTTCAGTACAATAATCTATGTCAAAATTAAGTGGAGCTTTACGTAATAAATAACTGTGTTTAAGGATAGTCAAGTTCTCTGATAGCTTTAATGGAGATAGGGTTATACTGGAATAGTGACTGTGATATAATTATTGGTGACATGATTAGTTTTGTTCTGATTCTTTTAATCCCTTTAAGAATGCTACCCAAAATTACAGCATTCAAAAGTATGATTTAAATCCAGAGTTTAAGAATCACTGACTTGGAACTCAAAGGTCTATAAGACATCACCAAGTGTGCATTTTTCTGTTAGCTTAATTTCTGGATCCCTCATGCCCCAGTCAACTTATTTCTTTGTTGTATTATTCTCAGTTTTAATTTATGTTATTTTGCGATTTTTGTGTAGTTTTATAAAACATCTTGTGGTAGGCCATAATAAGGGTTCCCCAAAATGTCCACATCCTAATCCCTGGAATCTCTGAATATATTATATTTCACGGCAAGGGGGGATTAAGGTTGTAGATGGAATGAAGACTGCTAATCGGCTGACCCTGAGCTGGGCTGATTATCTTAAATTATCCAGGAAGGCCCAAAGTAATCACAAGGGTCCCCATAAGTGAAAGAGTGAGGCAGAAGAGTCAGACTAAGAGCGATTTATTGTGAAAATTCAAGCTGTCATTGCTGATTTGGAAGATGGAGGAAAAGAGACCCTAAGTTAAAGGAAAACTGACAACTTCTAAAACCTGGAAAAAGAAATGGATTCTCCTCTGTAGTCTCCAAAAGGAAAAGCCTTACTTCTTGATTTAACCCAGTAAAACCCATTTCTGACTTCTGACCTCCAGAACTATAAGATAATAAATTTTTATTGTTTAGAAAAAATTAAGTGGAGCTTGAGAATAAAATTGTGTACATGACATGATTATTAAAAAATTCCAAGAATAAACCATTATAGTAACAATGCAAGATACAAGGTTAACATACGAAAGTCAATCACTTTCCTATATACCAGCACTAAACAAGTGGAATTTGAAATTCCAAACAGTGCCATTTACATTAGCGCCAAAGAGGAAAAAAAAAAAAAAACAAAACACTATGGCATAAATGTTATGAGGAAACTATAAAATACTGATGAAAGACATCAAAAAAAAGGAAATATTCCATATTCATGGAAAGACAATATTGTTAAAATGTCGATTCTTCCCAACTTGATCTATGTATTTAATATAATCTCAATAAAAATCCCAGCAAGTTATTTTGTGAGTGCTGACAAACTGATTCTAAAGTTTATATGGAAAGGCGAAAGACCCTGAATAGCCAACACAATACTAAAGAGCAAAGTTGGAAGACTAATGCTACCCAACTACACGATCTACTATAAAGCTACCGCTATCAAAATGATGTGATATTGGCAGAATAAACAAACAGGTCACTGGAACAGAAGAGAGCCCAGGAATAGACATGCACAACTACAGTCAACTGATCTCTGAAAGGGGCAAAGGCAATTCAACAGAGATAGTCTTTCAACAAATGTGCTGGAACAACTGGCCATCCCCATGTAAAACAATGAATTATGACAGACTTTTCATACCTTTCATAGCAGCTTTATTTATAACTGCTAAAAACTGAGAAAGTAACCAAGATGTTCCTCAATAGGTAAATAGAAAAACAAGCTGCTACATCCACACCATAAACTATTAAGTGATTTTAAAAAATGAGCTATCAAGCCACAATAAAATATGGAAGAAACTTAAACGCACACTGCTAAATGAAAGAAGCCAGTCAGAAAAGGCTATATACTGTATGAGTCCAACAGTATGAAATTTTGGGCAATGCAACACTACAGAGATCTTCTTAAGGGTTCGAGGAGAGGGATGAATACGTAAAGCACAGGATATTTGTTAGGGCAGTAAAACTATTATATGATACTGTAACTATATTATGCATTAGTCAAAATCCATACAACTGTACATGCTAAGAGTGAACCATAATGCAAAAAACACAAAACAAGTGGAGCTCAAGCAGTGCTTAACTGATGATGTGAACAGGAAAAGAATTATGTGCAAATGGTAATACTGAGGATCCATAGATTTCTTTTCAAAGAAACCTATCGGCAAGGCTGACTCGCTTTCAAAATGCTACAATAGTATATACAGTAAAAAAGCAGTCTAAGTGTCAGGGAACTTGTAACACTCGGCCACTAAACACAAGCCATTTCCACTATATTTTCTCTATCTTTACCACAGGTGAAAAAGTGGTATATTATTTGAATATGAAATACAAAGATTTTTTTCTAAAAAGAAGTTGCATATCTACAAAGCAAATTTTGAACACCATTCTAATGTTCAGTGATATGAAGTAAATCTACTTTTCCATCCCAAGAGTCTCATATAAGCTCTAAGCATTTCCTATTACTTCACCATAAAAACAGGACAGAATGTTCAGAATGTTGGTTAAATATTGTTCCAATATTTAACAATAACATTTCCTTTCTTTCAATGAGGTGAGCTGACATTAAGAAATGACATTAGAGAAGTTACAAGAATCCTTGCCTTCATCAACAAATAGTTCTGAGTAACATTTAAGAGAAAGAATGTGTGCTCCAAACCAAAAACCTTTATTTCATTTCCAATTCTTGTTAAACATGGCTTCTTAGTATGCTCTCATTATAAACCTAAGTATAAATTTGTTCTGTATCTATAACAAATACCTACTACAATATAGAAATCTTTCATGCTATATACATGTTTTTGTAGTTGAGTCTTACTTTGCTTTTTTGGTCTTTTATTTATTTTTAACAATTGTAGCATTTATTTGGATTTGAATGGTCTAACTTTAAAAATCTACCACGTCACTATGGTAAATTTTTTTACCACATGCCTAGCGATAATTAATATTATTATCCTTAATAAGATTAAGATTATTAGAAAAGAAAAAAGGCATAAATGTGGCCAACTTTTGATAACTGATAACTCTGAGGTTCATGATATTCTATTATCTCTTTGAAATTTTTCATAAAATTTAAAGAATAAAGGATTATTTAGCAGTGCTCATCTTTTATCTTTTTAAAGCAACTACAGACCAATTTATTAATAAGTTTACTTCCTGAGCTAATCTTCACTTTTGTTCCAATTATGAAATATCATGTATGGTAATTTATTAACATAATTTCTAAGTGCAAAATCTTTACATAGTAGAGGAAAAAAACCAAACATGGAGTCCAAATAAATGCTACTTACTGAACATTCATCTACCTGAGTACCCCATTCTCTTCTCTTTTCTATTTAAAATAAAGATAATACCATCTACTACATGTGACTATTGTGAAGATAATGTGTATGAAAAGACCTTTGAAAAAAATAATAAGCAAAAGTAAAGGCTATATACAGATAATTACACTTAATAACTAGTTATTATATTTACCTTCACGTCATTATTTCCTACAGCAATTCCTATTTCTGCAAGGTCTTTTAGTAAAGATGCCATCATCTCAGCTGCTCGTTTTTTCTGGTGGTTGGTCATTTCCTTAAGTTTCTGAAGTTCAGCATCTATACTTGCTAAAGTTGCCTAGTAGATCCAAAAATAAAAGGTAGTTAAATCTATTAAACAAAAGATCAATTTTAGTCTATGGCCATGCCACCCTGAACAAGCCCAATCCCATCTGATCTTGGAAGCTAAGCAGGGTTGGACCTGGTTAGTACTTGGATGGGAGACCACCTAGAAAGACCAGGTGCTGTTGGTGTAAAAAAAAAGATCAATTTTAATACTGACAGCTATATCAAGTTTTCACCTAACAGTCACAAAACCATTATTTTCTGCTTTTATTTTCTTGACTATTATCTACTAAGTTCTAAGTTACCTTCCAGTTCAAACCTAAAAATATTTTAGACCTAATAAACAATGTAATCATACTGTGCTCCATTAAGAGCAGGTAGTTAGCATTATTTCACTAAATTTTTGAGATTGGGTAATGTTTTCTGCCTAGAAATGAGAAATTTCCAAATTAATAAATTTGATTTTTCATTTATTGCCATAAGTTTCAGCAAATTTATGTTAGAATGGAATTGACAGTTTTCTAGATGGCTGGCATTTTTTTTTTTTACCCACCTATATACTTTTTAATATTTCAATTAAGAATATGTGTACTAAAGTATTAAAGAAAAACTTGTATCCTACCGATTTCTGATTCAGTTCATCACTAAGTAATTCATATTCCTTAGTTTTGTCTTCAACTTCTTGAGACTTCTGATCATAATTAACAGCAAGTTCCTCCAAGGCTTGTAAAACTTCTTTTACTTCTTCTTTTGAGGCATCGTTTTCTGCTTGAAGGCGATTCAGCTCAGCTTGCATATTATCTTGATCTCTTCTGGTAGATGCCAGAAGCTAGGTGAAAAAGTATATTTTTACCAATTCTGTTTGCTAAATTTAAAATTCTATTTGCTAAGCACAAAGGGAAGAAATGTAGATGCTATAAAGTGTGGTAACATTAATTCATTCAACAAATTTACTGAATGTCTATGTACAGGCACTGTGAAAGACACTGTGGGAGACAGAAAGGAAATCAAATAAAAACTTTGCTATTGAGGAATCTAGACAAGAAGATAGGTACATAAAAAAATGTAATACAAGAGCTATAAAGCAGAGACAGGACATGACAAAAAAAGTGCTTGGTAGTATAGGAAAAAGAGAGATATTTCTATAAACAAAGAAGATGAAATGGAGAAGTGGCTAGGAAAGGTAGATTTTAGTCATATGCAAATTAAAGTAACAGAAAGACAAAGGCATTCTAGGTTCATGAACAGTGTGCACAGAAAAAGAAATTAGTAGATGTTTAGAAGATTTGCTTTAAAATTCAGATTTTCTTTGGGCAACAGGGGGTGGCTTCTGAGCCGTGCCTCAGGAAAATTTAGTATCAGCATATAAAATCTGAGCTGGAGAGAAGCTAAGAGAAGACTACTTAGGAAGATACTGCAATCATCCAGGGTCAGTGGCTTTTAAGTAGTGGTACATGGAAATGCGTGGGAATACTAATAATGGTGCAGAATGCTAGTGGCACTTAGAAGCAGGAGCCAGGGATGCTAAATGTCCTATGATGCAAAGGACAGAACAAAATAATAAAGAATTATATGCAATATTACTAGCTCCCTTTTGAGAAACAAGGCTATAGTTGAAATAAGCATAAAAATAATCTGACCAGGATTAATTTGGCTGATGGTGGGTATCTCTTTCTTATTGAAACTATGCAGTCTTTGCCACCCTTCCCCAAAACAAACCTTAAATGAAGGACCATTTTTCAATGATCCACCCTGCTTTGCAGGTGAGATAAATGAGGCTCCAAACTAGGTGACAAACTAAAGAGACACTTGAAAGAACTAAGATAAAAGTAAAGATGACAGAAATGAACAACAGGGTTAGATGAGGGTAGAAATGTAAAGAGTAAAACATGATTTTATTCATTGATATTCTCCTTCTCACAATAAGTCATACCTCAACTTACCTAATTATTAAAGACAAAGTCAATGGAATTCAGAAATCAGTATTTCTTTAATAATCCCTTTAGAATGAACTTATACCTGTATGTTGACGTGAATGAGTGAGAATAAAACATGTGTTTTCTTATATTACTTCCTTCATTTCCATATGTAAATACTGTACTTTTCATTAATGGAGGAGGAGTCTAAATACTCCAAACCAGTGTAAGTTTTCCCCAAGGTCAATTAAGAAATGTTCTGGGGAGAATCAGGAGACAAAACAGCACTGTACTTCAAAAAGCAGAAGGCAGTTTCAAAAAACCAGATGTATGTTAAAAAAAGTAAATCCTAAAAAGAGTTATTCTCTCCTCTCCAGTAGAGAGAACTCAAATCGTAAGATAAAGTCAATCTTTGCTTCAATCCATATGATGCATCAATCAGGATACCCACAGTGAAGCATGCACATATTCAAAAAATTTAAAGATGCACTCTAGTATACTCAGAGCTCTATAGATTGCTTCATCGTTTGTGTTTAAATGATAATGACAAAGCTTTTCCGGAAACAGTATTCAACTTACTTCTTCCTGATCCAACATCTGTGTCTTCAATTTCTCTACCAATTGGCTCTGCTGATTAATTTCCTCATCCTAAAATTTTAAAGTAACAAGTTAAAAGTAGCCCACAACCTGGTCATCTAATTGTTTCCTAACACAAAATGTAAGATTACTATCCCCCCACCCCCCAAAAATATTTCAAAATCATTTCTCCAAAACTATTTCAACATAGCTTATTTTAATCTTAAGTAGAAACAGATGGAATCTTTTAATTGTTAACTGTAACAGTTTTTTCATGCAAGATGAAAAAAGGCTTATAGATTTATCATGCAATAAGAAAAAAAGCTATCATTAAATACTTTAAATGCTAAAAAATAATTAACATGTTTGAAGCTATTATTGAAAATAATGGCCATATAGCCACATCAAACTGCCTGCCATCTCTGCTTAAAATAAAACAAAAACAATATCAGAACTAGTTTCTTCTAGTCTCTTTCCTGCCTGTTTTCCTTTTCCTGTTTGGTTCATAATTTGATTTTTCACACTGCTGACTGATATAATCAAAGCAGGAAGATAGCATTCTCACTCCATTCTGTTCCCCGCTATCTCATCTCTTACATCATTTTTTATTAGTTTTCAGATCCCTGATTTTAAGAGGCCATTTCATTAAGGCTCTCCAATGACTTAATGCCAAATTTCCTTTACAAAGTTCTTTCAGCTTAAAAATGAGGAGGGAAAAAAGATATGCTTTGTACATAGTTTCTGCATAGAAACGGAAATTGTGATTTTCTATTTTTTGTTAACATAACCATTTCGAAAGGTTAACAGAAAACAAAGATGATGTGTATTTCGTCACGGGGACCAATAATATTGACATTAGAAAATAAACACCTTTGCAAATAACGTTCTAGAACAAAATAGAACATAAACAATACTTACCTTGTCATCTAGTTGTTTGTACAATTTAGCAATTTCTTCTTCACACTTTCTTCTTTCAGCATCAGTAAAGTTTCCAGTAACTCCAATCGTGGTTGCTGGTTTATCATTGGTAATAGTAACATCCTTATCCACTGCGAAAGCTTCCAAGTTGGCTTTCTCTTTGTCAAACTGTTCATCAATAGGCACTGTCTCTCCTACAATAAGACAATAGAATGGTTAATAAAAATTGAACTGTCTAAAGCTAATTTCAATTTTAATTTTGGCTGCTCTTACCAACTTTATCTGCTCAGTCCTTGAGATCTGTAAAGTTGGAATTAACTTTGACTCTCCCCATCTTCTAAATCCAGCCACCAAATCTTATTTTTATTGCTGACATGCTAAATCCAGGCACCTTGCCATTTTATAACTTTTATAGCTTCCTAGTTGGCCTTTGTACTTCTATTTATTATTTCAGGTAATATAAGAATTTAATGTAAAAGGCTTTATTCATTTTTATTTGATGATCCCTAATGCCTAAAAAGTGAAAATGGATATGCTTTGCTATTTTTATTTATATTCACATCTGAACCTCAAATTTAGAAAATAGCTCTAAATCTGTATTCAACAACTGAAAATGATAAATTTTTAAGTCATTACCATTACGCCACCGGTTGAGTTCATTTTCAAGCCACTGAATGGTGTTCCGTAGGGTCTTATTTTTTTCTTTTTCTCTTTCATACTTCTTTTTCCATTGTTCTGCAGTTAACTCTACATTGACACAAACTGTGTTCTTAATTGTTTTGGCCCTAAAGAAGTGATTGAGGAAAAGAAAATGTGACTAAAATTACTTTCAATTGATAACTAATCGTTCTATGTAATATATGCATATATGGCTAAGTAATTTAACTTAACTATTCTTGTCCGGTTAACTGACTAAACACTAAGAGCTGTAATTAGTTTAGTATAGTGTTTATTTAAACCTCAACTAAATTTGAGTCAGGCCTAATATTTGTGAAGAGCTTTAAAAAAAAAAAACCAAGCTGATGAGGATGAAACACAGGGGCCTATATTTTTACAATTCATTTGCAAGGCTGAATTAAGAAAAGAAATTATCAATGGAAGTCAGAGATAAAGCCATCATTATTTTCCTAGGCTAACCTCTCATATCGATTATTTGAACTCTGTTATACCAACAGTTTTAACATAGGATTATATTTGTCAGACTTGTACTGTATTACCTGATGCAATGCTTATTTTCTTTAATGCTGAATTAAAACTTCTTACATAAATTTAACTAAAGTTAACATTAGACTTTAAGGTATACAAAAACTTAATTCAAACCCAAGCAGTCTAAAAGATAACTTACTTGTATTATCTGTCCCTCAATTAAAAAGTTGTGTCTATAACACTAACAATATGCATTGATTGAAATAATATGCACCTGATATTTTTCCTAGATTTAATCAACAAAAAGGCCTATCTACATTCCAACTTTGAATTTTCTTAACAAACCTTTGGCCAAACAGGAGTGTAGATTTTGTTTCAGATTCATTGTATGATGATGGAGAGCAGCAAATTACAATAGTGGTTCTACAGTTCCCGCCTAATGAATCTTGAAGGATTCTTGTCATTTTACTATCTCGATATGGAACATATGTCTACATACAAAAACAAAAAACAGAGAAGACCAATGGGTTTCTACATAATAAAATCTGTTATAGAAATATGCTATTTTAAATAAACCACAAAGTGATTTGTTATTTTGTTTAATATTAAGATGGGAACTAAGATATACATACTAATAGTACAAAATAAATTCCTACGAGACAATGAATTCACACATATTGATTCAAAAACAGTGAACCTCTCACACACTCAAATATGTGCATATATATATAGAAGCATATATTTAAGTAATTCCCCATAAGAAGACATGTATACTTACACTACCCTCAGCCAAAGCAGAAATGACATTCCCAAGAGCAGAAAGTGACTTGTTGATGTTCTTAGCTTCATCCAGCACAGCACCTTCAGCTCCAGTTTTACTAACCTATACATAAGATTACAAAAAAAGAAAGAAAGAAAGAAAAAAGGAAAGAAGAAAGCTTCATGACTTTATTTGCCAAGTGTTTACTCTCAGGCACAACTATTTCTAAGGTATTACTCTTTTGAGAACATAAAGTAACTATATGCATGACAAGAATGTGAGACACAAAATTTTATTTTAGTTTGTGCCCTTCAAAATAAGTTGTGTCTAGCACACTAACAATGTTAAATATCTTCAAAATAACCAATTTACATGTACATTTATAGTTTACTAATTTGCTATTCCTCTTTGCTACATTAAAAAGAGGAACTTTTTAAAATTTTCTAAAGCATAATGTTGTTAATGGAACCACAGAAGCAGCAAACTTGCTTCTTTTATAAAATGCATATATTTACAATATGTTAGCAATATTGGCTGAAGAAATGACCTCTCAATTTGCAAAATTAGAGACAGACTTTAAAGGATGTATGTAAGATGTTCGAGTAGAAGGCAGTATCATTCTAATCGGCAGAAACAAAATTAGGAGAAAAGTTAAAATGGTCATAATGGTCAATATTAAAACATTTGAACTTATTTTGACATAGAGTCAGATTATATAAGACTATAATAATAAAATAATCATCTAAAGAAAAGAAATAAGTACAATCAAATCAGAAAGGACTAATGGATAAGTTACCATTTTTCACAGGGAGCTCTTTGCCAACATGGATAAAGAGATACTAAAAATTAGGAAAAGGATACCTAATTAAATTCATAATGACATAAGCTGAAGAAGTTCTCAATAAAAACATGCATCTTATGTCAAAGGTAATATCTATTGGTTGAACTGGACTATGGTCCAAGTAATAGTGATTTGGAACTGATTATTGAGCTTATGTAATCATAAAGCACTGGCTTCAATGCTTTAACTCACAAAAATGCTTAGATATCTAACAGAATATAAAGATTTTACCTTTTCACTACCAGCTAAATCAACCAGATAAAGTTTTCCACTCAGCTTTTGTTCCGTTTGCGTGTTCTCTTGTTTTACATTAATAAGAAAAATACTGTGACTCCTAGAGCTATGTTCATTCATATCTGCAATGAAATTACACAAACAACTGTAAACAAACATAGCTTTCCTTTTCTAATAATTTCTAAAGCATTATTTGATAAGAAAAATCTTAAAATTAATCGACTTGATAAAGGTATTTTAAAAGTTTTGTACTTTAATTAGTGTTAATAAATATTCTACTTACTTGTAACTGCTACATGTCTGTTGGATTTTCCTTCATCTATGGTATCCATAACTTCATCTGGACTACATACAAAACGTTCTGTGCATCCCTGTAAAATAATTTTTTAAAGTATGTCAATATCCTGAAAAATTTTTATTAGAGGACTTTTCTAAACATTCTTTCAATATTATTTTATAAGTACCTTTACATATGGTACTCGGTTTTTATCTTCATGAACTGAAAGGTTGGTCTTTGAAACTGAAAAAGAAAAAGGAGTATTAGCAACTCTCCTAAACTCCAACACTGGCTGTGAAATTCAATTGACTGTTTCTTTCCCAAAGTAGCTTAATAAGATAAACTTTAAAAACATGAAAACATCACCATTAAAACCCTGTAGAATAGTGGGAAATTTACATAGAAACCAATGCAGCAATATAGAACCTTAAAGCCAATTCAACCTCTACCATCCACATTTTGGAAATAAAAGCATTAAGCCAGAGTGATGTGACCGTTTGTCCATAAACAATATATCTAATTGACAGCTGATAGAAGACCAGATAATCAGGACTCTGGTTCTTTAACTCAGTTCAATGCTCTAATTACTACTTAAGAAGCACTCATAAATATCTGCTTTAAATAAGTCATTCTATGTGTCAAAAGGCATTCTTCCAAAACTTTAAAAGATGAATTTTTAAGCGTTTGTTTCCTACAACTTGTCAATTTCATATTGGTTACTAAGAAATGGTCTCACATTTACTACTAAAAAAAGTAACACATGCTATATTAAAATGATCAAAGAGCAAGAATTTAACTTACCATCTAATAGGTCCCTTATCTTATCCAAATAAATTTCAAAATATGAAACCTAAAGGGCAAAAAAATAAAGGAAAAAGGATTAACCAATTAAAATTATAATAATTTATTCATTTATTCATTAAATATTTACTGGGGTCTAAGTGCCAAGTATCATCTAGATTAGGGGGACAGAGTTACCAACAATTCAGCCATAGCTCATATTCTAACAGGAAGACCTAAATTCATCAAATTGCTTTTATAATTAAAAACCAATTTCCATTACATATCTTCATCTGAAATGAATTAGACTAGTTAGCATAGTAAGAACCTTTGAGTTCTACAGTAAAACAAACTCCTTTACAAAGAAGGAAGATAAGACAAAAGAGACAGCTAACTTGTTTAATTTGGTATTCTAATGTCAGATGAGGAATCCAAGTTTACTAACTCTAATGATCATTATACCTGTCCATAAAATAATTTTCAAAATATCTTAAAATACTTTTGAAAAGGAAATTAGCATTTATTATTTTTTTTTGAAATCGACTTATTCTAGGCATAAAATACAACCTTTCCCCAAGGATTTTACCTTAATATGAAATTCCAAATTTTCATCCATGGAGTAAATATAATTAAAAATATCTTGCACTATTCTTGGAATAATTCCCATGCCTTCCGGATCATGAAGTTTACCCTAAACAGAAAACAAAACTAGACTTTTTAAATTGATGTATGAATTAAAACTCAAAACTTTCAATGTACAATTTATAGTCAATAGAGGACAGGAATTTTAATTGTTGTTATTTTTTGATGAAAATGGCTCTACAAATATCTAAAATACTGTATATAAATACACATAAAACCTGTGGTAAATTACATATAAATACTGTAGTTTCACAAATAATGACTAAATGTACTGTCCGTACTGCAAATTACATCCAAATACAGATTATAAAATATTACCTCCATTGTGTGTGTCTTCCCAGAGGATGTCTGTCCATATGCAAATATTGTTCCATTATATCCCTCAAGTACATCTGCAAGAAAATAAGAGATTTTATACTCAGGGGCTTTTTTCCCTTATGAGTCTTAGGAAATTACTTCAGAATGTTAGAAAACACTAAATAATTCTCACATACATTAATCTTGTTCCTATCCATGCATAATCAAATCTAATAAAATATTTGTGGGAAGAACAGTGAGAAAGATTCAGATTGTCTTTACACTAATATGAAATAGTGTCAAAGTTTAGTACATGAAAGATTTATAAACACGTTAAAGGAAATAAATAACAGTAATTTTCTTAGTGATGTTCCATCATAGCAATTACTTTCTCTCCAGCCCAGATTACTTTCTGTGGTCAATAAGAAATTTTAAATTCTGTTGTTTATAATCACCACATATGTCAGTATACATCTCAAACGCAATTTACATCTGTATGCCAAAGCTTTATGTTGACTTAAAAGAAAAAAATGCTCTGCCAATTTACATACAAATATTAATTAGCATTTAGAAATAGGACTATTGATTGGTGGTTAACAAGAGGTTAAATCTCAAAAATCCACATACTCCTCCTTATCCAAATTATAACAAGTCCAGTTCTACCTCAAAATCAATTATCAGAAAGTTTCCTGTGAAATTAAAAATATCTTTTCTAGCCCTTTATGTACTCCCAAAGCTACCGTTAACATTTAAGTATCTACCTTTACTAAGTTAAAGGGACAAAAAAAGAGAATATGAGTGAGCGAGGTGATCTTTTGATTTCCAATTTTCGAGGATTCCTTATGTTCTGTTTTGGTGACAAGAAAACTATTATGAAACTATTTTCTACTCTAGAGAAACTCTAAAAAGAGAAGCCTCTGTTAGAAACAGCAGATGGTAATAGTGGAAAATAAATTAGTAAGCAAGCCAATTCTTGTTTTCTCAATTGATTATTTAAAAAAAAAAAGGATCCCCTCATTGGGCAGAAATATTTGTTAATGAGAAAAAGAAGGCATCAGTACTTCCCTGGGAAAATTGTGAGAATTCAAACATTTTTAACTTTTTCAAAATCTTTTTTGGTTTTAAGGAGGAAAGCAAAATAATTTCAAGAATCACATTTAAAATAATTTGGGATGGTAGTACTTCTGTCAGCAACTCTGAAGAAGAAATAATCTGGAGAAAAAAAACACTAGACCCTTTCAATTCGCTCCCTTTATACCTAACAGTTCTCAGTATGTCTATGTATACCCTCTGCTTAAGATCTTTTATCAATCACACAAAATCTAAGCATAAATTCTAAAATTTGTTAGATCTATAAAAGATTCGTTCATGATATGAGCCAATTACCTGACTACCACCACAAGAGGAACTTAATATTTGTAGGTGAATGAGTGACTCTCTCAAGATCACATTATTAGCCTATGTCTATATGATATCACAGTAATTTATGTTACATGAAACTATTACACGAAGGATCCTAGGATAATAAATATATGTAACACATTCAGATTTGGAACTTTAAGCATAACTTTAAAATTTTTATGATTACAGACTTTATGGATATTCAACATTCTCAAATATTTACTGAGCACCTGTGATGATCCAAGCTCTGCTCTGGGTGGAGGGGACACAGCAATGACTGATTAGGTGATTTCTAGATAATGTCTTGTGTCACCAAAGCAATAACATTTTTATCAATTAGGAAAATATTTTCTTGCCTAGTCTATTTCTTGCAAAGTCTATTCCTGACTTTCGACTTTACAGTGATTTAACTCCCAATATTTTATTTAAAAAAAAATCTAAACATATAGAAAAACTTAATAAGCTTTAATGAACACCCTTACAACCACCACCAAGATTTCACCATAAACATTTTATTCTACTGTCTGCTAGCCATCCATCTTATTTTTTTAATGTATTTCAAAGTAAACTACAGACTTCAATACATTTTCACCTAAATACTTGGCCTTGCATAGACCATTAACTAGTATTCAGTATTCTGCAGTTTTATTCCTGAGTTAAAATGTACAATGAAACATATATATCTTAAATACGGATCTTTAAAAAAATACAAATATTTATCTATTTGAGAATCCTAGAAGGGACACATCTGTAATCAGATAAAATCAGGCACTTTTTGACCTGGTTTGTTCCTTTTTTCAGCTCTATCTCCCACCATCCTCCCCCTCACAATGCCATTTTTATTTGTAAAAATGGTCAAATCTGACCATTTCATATGGTTAAACTTCACAGTTACACTGTAAGTTGTTCTCCACACATGTAGTACTCATCTCATATGGGGCATGCACTATTAGTCCATGTGTCATCTCTTTACCTGGAAGGCATCCCTCCCTCTCCCTATTCTTTGTTTATATTTTAAGACCAGCTCAGGCTCTATTTCTTCCTTCAGCTGAAACTCCATAACCCACCTCCAAATAAATCTAGGTAAAAGCCTCATCCTAAGTGTTCTTATAGCATCTACATTTAATCGTAATACTTATCAGTGTATATTGCAAGTGTCAATTTACCTGTCTGTCTTCCTAACCAGACTGTAAAGTGGAGGCTGGGCTGTGTTTAACTCTTAGCACAGTGCCTGGCACTTAGTAGGAACTCAAATGTTTGCTGAATGACTATCATCATCACTAACACACAGAGCCTTTCCAAAGCCTCCCTCCCCTTTTGAAATACACTTTTTGCCATTCTTGTCAGAAACAGGCATAGGCGGACAACTATGGACAAATAGTACTTCTTTCATTATTTGTAAACAATTTAGGAAGTGAGACAACAGCATATTACTTTCTAAAAGTCGCTTAGTCTCTCTGAACTTCAGCATCTTTACTTGCAAAATGTGTGCTTAGGGGAAAATAATTAGAAGTCATCATATAAATTATTATTGTTAACATCTGAGAACGTACGAAGTGTCAGACTCTAGTAATTTTTCATATATTAATGTATTTCTCACAACACTCTATGCAAGGTACTATTTTTAGTCCCATTACTGAGGAATGGACAAGAAATAACTTGCCTATAGTACCATAGCTAATAAGATGGAGCTGGGATGCAAACCCAGTCTTGGCTTCACATACATTCCCCTAACCACTACACTACCCATGAACACAAGAACTAATATAAATATATGGCAGGCTATGTCTGGAAAAATTAAATGTCGATTCGGTGGCAGACAGTCCAAGTCAGGTAGCCATGGTAGGAAACTGAGGAATTTATGAAGGCCTGGTGTTATGCCTGCCATAAGACAAGTACTAAATAACTGACAACTACTTCATACAGGGGAAACAAACTTTCAGACATCACTCTGATTCAGAATTAAGAGAATACAAGTGGTAAGCCTGTTCAAAAAAAAAAAAATCTATCTAATGAATCTACAGAAAGTTATAGATTTGCATAGAAATGTACGAAAGAATGCAACCTTGGTGGACTACCAGGGCCCCCAGAGAGTACCAGCTGCTTCAGGTCACTCCTGGTAGCTTCTCATCAAATCTACAACTCAGAAGAAATACCAGCTGGCTCATCATTTTGCCAATCCTTGCCTACCACCAGTTTCTAACCATGGCCTTCCACTTGATGTGTTTGCCAATGACTATCGCAAGTTCAACCTGCCATGTATTTATTCCTCACACCTCACCAGACACCCACCACCTACCCTCACCCCATCTCTCTCCCTAAATCTGTTATTTAATTGTTATTGGTTAGCTCTGCCACATTCATACCCTTAGCTAGTCAAGACTTACTAGCCACTAACTACATCTAGGCTCCTCTAAAATGGTAAAGAGCATATGAGTGAAGATAAAAATAAAAAGTCACAGCCAGGTGATACCTTTCTAATATAAATTACAAAGCTGGCATAGAAGCAGGAAATAGTGACAGCTCCTATTCTAACAACTGCTTGAAGTCTAATTTTGTAGAGTGAAAATATCCTAGGCTATGAATTACCCCAAGTACAATTATGGATGATTAAGAAAATAACTTCCCTTCACAGAATCACACATTCTCATTTTATGAAGATTTCAGCATCCAGAACATTCTCATCAATGCCATTCCTGTTTTAATACTTGGTGGTTTCAATGACCATATAGTAGCTGTTCACACTAAAATTCCCTGGTCTCAGATCCTTGACCTAACTTTTTCCATGATCTTATCTTTTACTCCTTCAGATGCCAACTCCATGGTCATACTCTAGTATCAACTGCAACAAATCTTCGACTCCAGTGAGACTATAACACACTAATCTTACCATCTTTTTTCACTGTTCCTCAAATCCACGCCTCTCCATTTCCTCCTTCCCTTTACCCACCTTAGATCCCATGGTTCACCACTATCATCACTCCCTTGACAACACCCTCAATTCTCTTGCCCTTCTTTCTCTCTTTTGTACTCGCCTGGAAAAATCCCAAATGGGTACATTTGACTCTTCAGGCAGCTAACCTCAAGTGGGCCCTTAATGCTGCCTGGCGCTACTGCCACATTTTCCTAATCCATTCACTTCTATATTGCTTGATAGCTGACTTAATATCTTTTCCTAGAACCACCTCTTGCATCTTCTCTGTGATAACTCTGCTTCCTATATCATAGACAAAATGGAATTAATATGAAGAGAACATCTACATTTTCCTTTCATCACATCTTTAAACCTATTTCTATCCATAAACTCTACCCTCCCTCTTGTTACTAGATAAACTGTCTATGCTCCTACCTAATCCTAACCAGTCCACTTTTATACTGAATACCAACCTTCCCAGCCTGGTGAATGCTACAAGAGGATAGATTTTGCCTCAATCTAAGAAGCACTTTTCAACAACTAGAGCTGTCAAAATATGGAATAAATCATAAAGTAATGGCTATTTAATTGTAAAATCCCTTTGAGAAAAGAGATTTCTATAACTGGAAGTCCAGATATGATTTCTATGATTTTAGAAAATATAAAATTGAAAAATATCCTAGTACAAGTCAATAGTATTAACTGGAATGCACATACTTTTCTTATCCTGGACAACCTCTGTTAAATTCCTCAAAGGTTCCTCTGCTGATACAAGATAACTCTTTGAGAAAGGAGTAACAATGAAATGGAAGAATGACATACTGCCATTTTCTACTACTTTTTAGAAACCTGTTTAGCAATTTTATTTTAATTCTTATGATACTATATTTCTAAAATTGCTACTTTAGAAACTCTCCTGGGAATATCTCGTAGAAATGCATCTTCCAATCACACTATAGTGTAACACTATAATTCTTAAAAAGTTCCTTCATCAGGTACTGTATATAAATTAGATCACAGAATTTGAGTAATAGTATGTTTACTAACAGTATTTGACCTTTTATTAATTAATTGCTGGAGAAAGTTGTTTAAATAAGAAGAATGGGGCATTAAAATAAAAAAAAGAATCTTGGGTTAATGGGAAAGATTATAAACAAAATTTCACTTATTGCTGGGAAAACTTAACAGATGAAATATGTTTACCTTTAACAATCTTCTTTGCACAGTCATTATACACTTGCTCTTGAGATGTGTTTGACTGGAACACCCTATCAAATGCATAAGGCTTGGTCTGAAAAAACAGAAACAAAGGTTTCAACAAATTAAAGATGAATGCATTTCTAAGCTCCTTTAAAGATATATATTTAACCTTCACAATAGGATACCTTTTATGCATCACTTCATGTCACAGAATCTTTGTGGAAGGGATCTTAGGGATCACTAAGTACAAATCAACTAAAATAAACTCCACAAAAACAAGAATGTCTGTTTTAGTCTTTGTTGTATTTCTAGGGACTAGCACAGTAATTATAATTTGCACTACTATGGTAGGCACGCAAATATTGCTGAGTGAATTTTTATTTAATGAGTGTCTACTCTGGCAGGTGTTGAGACAATATTTTCAAACTAATATAATACTGCAGGTAAACTAAAATCCTGAAAGGTACAAAAGTTGTTAATGACAACATTAAAATTAAAACCCATATTTCCTGTCTTTTAGTTCAGGGCTCCTTCAGCTTTACTACAACAGCTTTTCAATCATTCATTCATTTAACAAACATGTATGGAATGTCTATTGTGCTAGACGCCATGCTAGAATGATAAGCGAGACAGGTTCATTCTCTGTTTTAGTGAAGCATAAGTTAACAGTGGGGCAGACATCATATAAATAATTAAGTGACTAGAATTCTGAGTCAAACAACAGTGTTATGAAAGTACTATGAGAACATCTAACAGGAGAACCTGAGTCTGGGGGAAGGTGAAGAATGTCAGGAAAACACTGGAGAAGGGATGTTTAAGAACTTCAGAATAAGTAGTATCTGGCCCATTGTCGCTTTCTTCATTATTAGTTATGAGGGAGAGTGAGTGTGGCTAAGTAGTCTAGGCACTGGGAATAGGATGCTTAAAAATCCTAACGCAGAAAGGAGCTTGTAGCATTCAAAAAAACCAAAGGATGTAAAATTTAAAGTATAAAGAACAAAGATCAATGCAATTGTCACCACAGTAAAAAAAAAAAGAAAAGGAAGGAGAGGGGCAAATAACATCTTACTGTTATTTTGAAAATAGTTTTGACTTTGTGAAACCCCTAAAAGGATCTTGGGGACTCCACCTTGGGGACACATTTAGAGAACTGCTGACGTATGAGGAGTCAGAGGCACAGAATGAAAAATCAGAGTATAGTGTCCATGCAAATCAAGGACGGAGTGATTGTGTCAAATATAGATTTAAGTCAAATATAGGAAGTGGTTGTTTCAAATATAGCTGTGTCAAATATAGAAGTCAAGGCAAAACTGAAAAGTAGCCAATGACAAAGGTCAGATTGGAATGGGTTAAAAAAAAATGGACGGCAACCAAGTAGAGCAGAAATCTGGCTGTGGGTCTAAGAAAGACATTTTTTTAAGGTGGGCAAGACCTGAGCAAGTTTTAATGCTCACAAAAACAATTTAGTAATCTAGGCGAGAAAAGTGAGCATCTAAAGGCGAAAGGAGAGGGGGCAAGGGAGCTCTGGGTATTTGGAGGTAAGTGTGTGCCTATTCTTTAAAGTCTCTTCTAAAAGAAAGAAAGCTGAGCCCTAAAATACAAAACAATCATGACTCCAGAAAAAATTCTTAACATTATGGAAGACTTTCTAAATCTTAGCTAAAAACAACAACAAAAAAGAAACAAAAAAGACCTTACTTTTACCTGTTATCCCACAATCCCCCTCCCCCAAAGCTTAGAATAACAGTAACAATGAAGCAGATACTTCCAAAAGGGCTATCAGAAACCATTCCCAATTCCCCTATTCTCTTGCAACCTCCCAGTGGAAAGCCAACCAACTGCTAGCCTAGTCTTCTTGCAAGTAGTGGCCACATGACCCAGTTCTGGATACTACGAAGTAAGTGATGGTCTGCTGGGAGGCCTTGGAGAAGGGTTTTGTTTTCCTGATGATAAAAAGGACCAACTCAACTGAAGCTGCCTTTTCTCCTTTCTGGAGCTGTAACATCCACCTTGCAAAAATAACACAAGTGATGATACAGAGAATAACATATTAGTAAGTAGTAGCAGTAGAGCTTGTCTCCAGCTTTTTTCTTTACAAGAAAAATAACCTTTCATTTACTTAAACCACTATCAGTTATTTGTTTTCACCCCACAGTTGAAAGCATTTCTGACGGCTATACTAAAATGACCTCACTTTGGCGTCAATTAAAAGTAGGCATCTCAATGACTGATTATTCTTTGGCTAAGACAACATAAAAGTGTCCTTTTGTTAAAATGCCACTAAGACATTAACATTTAAAATCTGTAAATGTGGCTAAAAAAGACAACCTACTGTTTTACTTTTCAAGATGCATTCATGAGAAACAATTTTGAAAACACAAATACAATCAAAATAATAACCACTCAGAGATTAATCATGCTAATATTTTTCTATGCATAAAGGAAATAATTTTCCCTCTTCATTATCTAACAAAGCATATATAAGGTATCAGATACTGTAAATGAGGAACACTTTTAGAAATAACATTTAAATAATACAGAAGGTAGTGTTCAAAGAATAGAAGGTAGTGTTCAAAGAATAACAGAGGATAAGCCTGGGTACTCTTGAATACCAAGCTAAGAAGCTATGTACATGGATCTAATGTAAGTAGATCAAGTAATGTTAACCGAATTGAAATGGACACAGCCTCTAGTCTTAACTCACAACCTGGTGAAGAGATTGCAACTAGTTAAAATATACATTCAATAACCGATATGTAAAAAATCTGTATGAAAGCAAAAATTAAACAATGATTAATTCCAATTTTGCTTGCAACAAATAGAAAAAAGATAAATGAAGACAAATGCATCCTTCGAAAATAAGCCAAATAGTAAAATTTTATTAAAACACTTACTGAAAGAACACTACTGAGTTTTAAGTCCTTATCTCCATCATTACATCTATAAAAAAATAAGTACTTGTAGACCATATAGAAAGAGATATGCCGAAAATAACGGGTAATTGTAAAGCCTGCCTCACAAGTACATTATGCAGCTGTTTACTATAGACAAAATTGCAAACTATCTCTACAACCTTATTAAAGTATGACTATAAAGACACAAACAAAAATAATTAAGCTGGGATTCAATGATTTCTTTTAGAAGTTATATCATTGTTAAATAAAAAATGAACTTAAGTGCTTGGTATTAAGTTGATAAAATAGACTTTTTGAATTCCAAAACTAAATTATAATTTTATTAAGTAAGGCAAATTTTTGATTAGAGAGCTAGCCATAAAGTTACTAACTGACCCTGGCTTCCTGGGATGAAAAACAAGACCTGTAAAATATAAAACCTATTTCGAATGGTCTATAATTAAGGCACATTTCTGACCTAACAATCTTTCAAGTAAATTAAACAAAGGAAACTTCAATATCTAGACATCTGTATTTTAAAACCTGGTTCCTGGCCTTGAAATGCATATTATGCACTCTTTATTTCTATGTATCTTCAAAGACATTTCCAAACCACAAGATGCACTGACATTTGACTTAGGCTTCAAGGGAACAGACTAAATAAGAATAAGTTTATTTGAACTGCAATCATACTTTAGATTTGTTAAGTGAAGTGGTTCCTGTTTGAGTCTGCACAGACCAGGCTGAACACCAAATTAGGATATGAGACCCTTCTGGCAAGGATTCTGAATAGTAACCATCAGATAACAGGGGTTTATATGATACTAGATTTTCATTAGACATTGTGGGCTAACATTCCATAATTGTATGTAACGATGGCTGCTTAAATTTTTAATTTTCTCCCGTAAAGGTAATCAGGATCAAACATCAAATCACCATTCACTTGAAAAGGGAAACTGTTGTGCTGTAGTCAAAGAACTGGGGATGACAATCTAATTATGTTTATTCTCTAATTTCAACGAACTACAACAGCCTGTTTTTGGCTCTGGCAGCCTCTATACTATTCTATGTAAGGAACAATGATTAGTAAAAATACTTAATGCAAATGGATATGTTCTACTTTTATGATGCATAGATACAGGAATAATTTTTTCTATGGATTTTTCTGTTTTCAGTAGACTTAATTGAACTACATATGGAGTTTCCCTTGTCCTTCCTTTTTTGTGGATATCAAGTTCTCTTAAAGCAAATAGATTCTATGGATTTCTCTGTTTTCAGTAGACTTAATTGAACTACATATGGAGTTTCCCTTGTCCTTCCTTTTTTGTGGATATCAAGTTCTCTTAAAGCAAATAGATTCTATTTGTATCATTTTTCATAAAGTAATTCATTTATTTCACTCCATATGTGATATGTAAAGCACTTCACCAAGCTATTACAAAAAAGAAACTATTAAAGATCACAGAACACAAACAAGATTACAAGATTTGCCTGCAATGGGATTGCATGATATTAAAATAACTGATTACACAAGTAAAAGGAAAAAAATGTGGACAAAATATTAGAACTCGAATTTAGATGAAAATCAGAATCCTTAAAAATTATTTTCTACGTAAGTATTGATTATACTTACAATTCAGTAACATTATAAACCAAAATAGTTATTCTTTAAATTTTGATTAACTAGAAGACTGTGTACAAACTTTTAAAATCATGTTTAAATAATTTTATTTTAAATTCTGCATTACAGCAATTCCTTCTTAAACTATTTTGAATCAGGATCGAGATCCAGCAAAAACAAAACAAACCAAGATTTTACCTAGAGACTTTCTAACTTCATTTCTCCCAGTAGCCCTTATAAATTACCAACCTTTAAAAAATAATTCATTTTAAACACTGAAAAAAAGGTGAGACCTCAGAGTAATTAATGATGTACTATATGCAAAAGATTAGTTCCTGAAAATAATGGACATATTGCCTTACATTTCTTAAAGCTTTGTCACTCAGCTGTAATGTATCTTTGCTTATTCATTAAAAAAAAAAAAAAAAGACTAAAATGCTTGCCAGTTTACCTAAAGGCCAACTTAACTGCTATCACTGATTCATAAGCTCAATCATCTTTCCATTATTTCTAATAATATCATTTAAATGTATTTATAGTACTAAGGAAACATGGAAGGAACTTATAACTTTATCCAAAGAAAACAACCTAACATAAATATGTGCTTCCTGTGGTAATTGTTTTAACTCTTTCTTTGTATTTTGTCATGTTTGCACTGTATCAGAAGGCTGCCTTCTTCTAACCTAACCTTAACACATTTTGTGAATCCTAAATTCTATCATTCCAAAAAACAAATCTAGGTGATATTTAGATTTGTGTAAACACACCAAAAAAAAATCTGAAGAAATGAGATAGTCTTAATAAAAATCTAAAAGAAAAATAGCTTTCACGTGTCAACCACTGCTGAGGCAGAGTCATCACAAAAACTGAGAAAACTAGTAGCCTCAAGTTTGCCAAGTAACGACCAAGGCCTTGCAAGTCTCCTCTGGTCACACATAAAACACATCATCCTAAAGGAAAAGGATGACAACTTCTGTGCTTAACTTCTTCGCCTCACTATGATGTCATTTACATCAAGTTTTTCTTGTGCACTTGTTAACAAAGAACCAGCTTGACAGTCTTCACACTGTAGTAGCTGGCAGTTGTTAGTAACCTCATGACTTGTTTGCCAAAAGCCTAACAAGCAGCGTGAAACAACTTTTAGACCTGAAATTTGGAAACTTTAACATAAAAACTAAAGAACTTTAGTCCTGTCTTAATAGGTCCAATGCTTTTAATCATCAAATGATATCTCCTGTGACTCCTTTGTCCTATTTACAAATTAAACTGTCCAAACAATATGTTAAAGATGGAATATGCCATTAGATAAAAATTAACATTAAAATTTTGTACCATGATAACAATGTAGGAAAAAGTTCTGTCACATGGAATTATCAAGAAAGATTTTAATTTTTAGTTACAGTTCACTATTCTGTATGCAGTATCTTATTATCCATTTTAATCTCCTTGAACTCAAAAAAATCAGCCTTACATTCTGGCCTCCTTGGTACTCTTTTAGCCACCTCTGGTTATGTTATGTTTTTATACTACAAAAAGGGACAATATATCACCATCCTTGGGATTATCAAAATCAAAGTTTTTCAAGGTTGGTCTTAATTGTAGAAATGGGAATCTAATACTAACATGAACTCTAGTTTACTGGTAAAATTTTATCTTTTTTATAATATTCTTCCTGATATACACACAAAAAATTAACACTCTTACCTAGACTGTTACCCGACAAAACCTGGCCTTTCTGAGCACTTATATGACCCAATCTGAATTGGCTCCATCTGTAAACAAAATCGATCACTCTGATTTCAAAGAAAACTCACCTATTTCTTTTTATAGCCCTCTATTTGTCTTTTTCAATTGTTAACAAAAAGCGGGTGGTTAAACATTTGAGGTACATTTGTAGTTTGGTAGTTCTTCCTCCCCCCGAGAGATAAACACTATGGTTCAACACGTAGTTGTGTATACGTTTCTACAAAACTAAGTATCTTTACTGTTTAACATACAGTAGGGCTGATCTCATAACTAAACGTCTCTAGCTTAACTTTAATCTTACTTACTTATTTTAAGAATGATAAATTGGGGGTAGTCTATAACCCCAATAGCCATCAACAACAGACAGTAATTGCACACACACAAACAGGCAAGTGAATATACACTAAACTTGCTCCCCGACAGTTCCTGCAGCGCCCCAGGTGGGGGAGTGTCCCAGACTGAGACTAAGGCGCCTCCCGTCTCCCGGTACTGAAGACCAGGGTGGGGACGAGCCAGGGAACAACCGCGGAGATGTGCAATCTCCCTGCTCTGGGTTATCTGAACCGGCAAACTCCACCAGGGACGGTTAGAGCACCACTGCTCCCTCTACGTTCGGCACCTCGCCACTTCCCTGAACTCCAGCCCAGCCAGGACCGAAGGAGAGGGACCGAGGGGTGGGGGCGGAGGTCACTCACCGCGATCATGACCGTGTCTTCTCCCTGAAACTTGGCGATGTATTTATCGCCGCGGTTCACTTCAGAATCGTTGAGAGGTCTGAAGCGACACATCACTTTGATGTTGCACTCGGCTGGGTCCGCCATCTTTCTCGCTGCCGGGGCCGGAGGCCGGGAGCCACTCCCCGCCGCTCAGTCTTGAAAGAAGCGGGCCTGAGCTGAAGGTACACGGTCGCGAAGCCGAGAGAATCAGGGGTCCGCCGCGTCGCGCTTCCCCAGGCGGGGGCGACCGGGGAACCAAAACACCAAGGGCCGGCACCGGCAGCCGTCGCCCTGAGGCTCACTTCCGATCTATCATGGCAGCCATGGCGGCGGCGGCACCGGGTGGAGCGTTGGCGGCTCCTCGGCTTCTCCCTCGCCGGCCTGAGCGGGCTGCGAGGGTTGGAGGGATTCCGGAGACCGGGAGGGTGTCCCAGTCCTCCCTCGAGAGAGCAGGCTAGGCCCACCGTTCCCTCACCCGTCCGCTTGCCGGTTTGCCGGCTGCCGCGCGGTCACTGCTAAGGCCGCCGCGGACCCACGACGGGACAGCGAGATGGGCGGTGCGCAAGGACCACTGCGCAGGCGCGGAGGTCCGGACGCCCCAGCGACCAATCGGTGCCCGCGCCCGGACGCTCCGCCGCCCGGCAGCCGCTCTCCGCCCGGCGGTCGCAGATTCAAGTTTTTCTAGCCGCTTTCTTGTAGAAGTACCTTTGGTCACCCGGCGGCTGCTCGCACTACAATTCCGCTGCAGAATTTCCCAGAGCTGAGGCAGACGCACCTAGCTTTCTTTAGGGAAGAATGGATTTGTTAAAACTATTTTATGTTGTCGTTCGGGTAAATAAACTATATTCCAATAAGAAAGTATTTGCTTTCTATTTGGTCTGGAGAGAAAACTGATTCTTAGTCTGTTTTTTCAGAGCTCTTTGCCGGAAAAAGGAAGATTTGAATGAAGGGTGGAACATGGCTCTGGCTTAAGAGGTTGCTCTTTGAGGGAGCGGATTGAGGAGACCGGAATATGAAAGAAAAAGGAAATTTCTAACTAAGAAATGAAGAAGGTTGTTGAAAAAAGGTGGAAGACTACTGTGAGGTGGAAGAAGGCCCTCAGTCAATGGGAGGTCTCTCTTCCCCGGTAATAAATATACGAAGCTCATCAGGATCAACACCGGAGGAGTGACTGACCTGGAGTGTAAAGATGATTTTAAAAGGCCTGGATAAATTTGTGGATTTATCTGTAAACCACAGTTGATTTTGCCTCCTACTTTTAGAAAATGGTTACCATTATGGTTCTTCATATGGAAGTTGCTCTGAAGTGCTGTGGAAGAGAACTACAAGGATAATTAGGAACCCTTCCTCTGGTTCCCAGTTTTTGTTTGTAAAATGCCCTCCAATGCCCTCTGTCTTTGCCAAATCACCCTAAAACCTCCAGAACCGAGTTCTTCATTCAACAAATTCAGGTTTATTGATCCACTACAATGAGGGAGAGCTCACACCAGAGGAACTGTGGGGCATCTCCCCAAACAAAGGAAAAGATGTAGTTACAGGGTGTTGGGGGGAGGGTGGAGTTCAGGTAAAATTTAAATGAAGTTGTGTTTTGATAGTGTTAAAGAAAAAAACACAGATATAAGTGTAGAACCAGCTCGAACTGGCTGTATCCTGTTCCTAACAAGATAATTGAGTTGTTTTTCTGGGACAACAGAACAAAACTGCAAGTTATTCAGCCAAGCATAAGCAGAGGAGAGAATTTTGACTTCCCATTACATCTTGAACCAAAGTTTCACCTCACCCCCAACCCTGCCTCCCACAGAAGCGAAAGACAAGAGAGGACCGGAACCTGAACACCAGGAACCCTTTCAGAAGTGGAGGATCCACCGTCTAAGAAGATGTAGTGCTGAAGCCCCTTACCATGTCTAACCATAAATGGCCAAGTTCCAAAGCTCTCCAATTGCGACTTGCCCTGCCAGTGCTTCTGCATACCAGCCTGTTCCCCTCGACCCCTTAAATACCTCTCTGAACTCTGGGTCAAGGAGACAGATTTGAGCTCTGCTTCCTGTCCTCTTACTATCACCCTCACAATAAAGCTTTTCCTTTTTTCAAAAGCCAGTGCCACAGTGTTGGCTTCTATGAGCATGGGGCAGCATTCCCTTGCTCCAGAACACAGGCCCAAAATGGTGTTACTAGTGCTGAAAGCACAGGATACCAAACCTAGATTTAATACCTGATCTAATTGCAGTTTTAACTTCTCCCAGAAACACGGCCTTAACCAGTATGGAATTTTCTGATCAAGCACCAGTAAGATAGTCACATAGGCTCTCTTCATCCCCCATAGAAAGAAGAGGCAATCTACACAATATAAACACTGCCCCTTCTCTTCCCTCTAAGAAAAGATGTCTTGGCCCAAAAATAATCCTTTCTTTTCTTTCGCTAATAGCTCCCTTGCCCACCCTTCTTTTAAAATACTTTTATTTTGTACAACTTCGAGCACCCTTCTAATTGCTAGATGGGATGTTGCCTGACTCATGAATTGCTTAATAAAGTCATTTAGATCTTCGCATCTACTTGGTTGAATTTTGTTTTTTAACAATAGCCTCTAAGCAAAGAAGAGCTGTGATATCAGGTCTGGACTACAAATGGCCCCAAGATCCTGTTTCCCCTGGGACTACAAAGTTAAGGTAAATGTGTTATCTTCAGAAACCCCTGTCCCAAAGCTCTGTTCCTGGCTTGAAAATCAATCAAGGCTGCTTCCCTTATGACTTGGATCTTCCAGACAAGTGTGGGATGTTTTATTCTTACTGATATAACTTCCAACAGTTTCTGATAGTCTATGATTTTAGAGAACAAAGTTTTCAGTGTGCAAGGAAGCAGCTGTAAAGTCAAAAAAGAGGTTGTGCGAGATAACCACCAGTTTTCAGCCTTTGCAGCAAGATCTCCTGAAGGCTCTGCCCTCAGCCTTCTGCTCTTTTCTTTCTGAACTCTTTCAATAATTGCTGGAATCTCTTATCTGCAACTCTGACCTTTTTGCCAATGTAACATTCCCGTCTCTCCAGCTGCTTATATAGGCCACCTTGTTTATGATGCTCTACCTATAGACAAAAAAAAAAAAGGAGTTTTATAAAAATAACCTCACATTTTTTATGATCTGATCATAAATTCCTAACTGGGCATGTCGTGGTGGGTAGTCGTCATTCCCCATGTCTATAACTTCTTTAGTGAAAGGTTTTAAGCCAGCCCTGTCCACTGTTCTTGTGCATCTAGGTTAGCATACCTTTAAAATACCAAAAGTAATTCCCCTCGAAGGGGATTTTAAACCTCAAGAGAGCACAGGGTCTTGTTAACTATCCTGTAATCCAATCCTCAGCTTGCTTTCTCCAATTTTTCCTATGTCCTATCCTTAATCTCAAATGCATAAAAGAAGTTATAACACTGTTATTCTCTGGAGCATTTGAGACTTTATTCCCTAGCATATGTCATCAGTTTAGCTCAAATAAACTCTTGTCAAAATTCTCTACAGGTTTGGACATTTCTTAAGTTGACAACCTTAACCTCAAATTTAGCATTCCAGAGATGAACTTAATTATCCTCTACTCCCTGCCAATACTTAATTCAAATACTCAACTTTCCAGTTTTTATAACTAGAATCAGCATTCTTTCATACTTTCAGACTAAAAAAGTTTCAGTCACCTATAACTCCACTATGTCTTTCATCCCCTATACATGCAAAAGAGGAACATGGTAGTCTGTATCTGAGGTTCCACAACTTCCATCCCACCGTTCCTGTTTGTTCTCTGACTCAGAAGATCTGGGGAATGATTGCTCTAGAGCAGTTATTTTCAAATTCTACTCCATGGAGTAGAGGTTCGAAAAAAGTGGCTCAGGAGATTTCTTGGGTATGAGGAGAAAAAGGAGGCAGATGGAAGAATACAGGAGTGAAGCTCTGGGACCCCCTGCTGCTCAAGGCACTTTGGTAGCTTTTCAACTCTTGTTTCTTCCTGCTCAACAGATTCTGGAGGCTCAGATTTATGAAAACAAAATCCAGAAAGGGAAGTATCTGCAAGAGCCTTCTGCTTTCAGATCTGATATGGGAAAGGGAACACAAAGAGCCTGACTCTGCACAGCACCAGGAAGGAGAACAATGCTATGTGAAAAACAAAATATTTCTAAAAATTGTCTGTCACGCTGGCAAGGAATAGAGGTATGAGACAATATGATTGAAGAAATATGTTATAGGGAAACGAAAATTGATTTAAAAAAATCCAACTGGCTAATCCCAGTTTTTCTTCCAAATATAGAAAAAACTGTGATTATTCAACACTAGTAGTGACACAGTAGGTTTCCTTGAGAATAAAGTTTGAGACTCATTAACATAATTTTTGACAAAAATGTAAGTGGTACTTGCACCTATACAGATTTGGAACATTTAAGCTCCACTGTGGAAGTTAGTCACCAAGGATGGTCCTCCAATGAACCACCCATACTTGAATTCACCCTGTTGTGTGGACTGTTTCCTTGAAGGTTGGGCTTTGACTCACTTGTAACCAGTATAATGTGGCAGAAGTGTGACACTGCATGCTATCTGAGACTAGGTGAGAAGAAGCCTGTAGCTTCCACTTGGTCTC